AGATCCAAGTAGAAGTCATGGATAATCTTCTCCATTGCCCTTCTGGAAGATGTGATAGATTTATCAGGATGTTGGAGGGTAGTCATCTTGATCTTGTAGGATAAGAACGTTATTTGGGTAACCCAAAGAGGAATCGAAAGAGCTATGCTTGGGGTATCACACTTCACTCAAGTGAGAGAAGGAATCCAGAGTTGTGACCTCTATTGACAATCGAGAATCAGAGATGCTGTCTCCTTTACCAAGGCATCGAAAAATCAGATGGGTTGGACACTTAATGGGATTTGAAGATGACCGCTGGACTAGCGCTGTTACCGATTTGATTCCATGTGACGTCAAAAGAACGTGTGGCCACTCACCTACATGATCAGACTTCTTTATCAAGACCCTGAGCAATCGCTTTGAGGCTCTTCGTGTTCCTGTAGCGAGCAGACACCATCGGGCTACACTAGCACACTGCAGAGACAAATGGAGACATTATTGGCACTTGCTCGAGCAAATCGATGAGTAATGGGATATCAAATGATTAACTGATAAAGTGATATAACCATGTTACCTAAACTTAAAAAAAATTTTAAAAAATTAGCCTCTAAGGGGGGAAGATGGACATTAGATGGAAGATTGTATAGTTATATCCGTTTTCCTCTTTCTATTGAAGTAATAGAAGATCTGGCATCAGTGGGCTCATACTGATTGTTGGTAAGACTTAGCTGGAACAAGTGAGTGGTTTCTAATCTCTGTTGTATGATAGTGATCAGAGGTACAGGCAGTGCAAGATTTTGATGGTGTACATATTTCCATAGTTCTAGAAATATATTTTATAGTCTAAGATTTTGAACAAATAAAATTGTATATGAATGTTTATTATGTAGATCCTGTTGCAAGTTACTTGATTGTCAGTAACATGTAACAATGCATGGAGAACACAGTCAGAGTTGTAGTGTGACTTCGTCATGTATTTCTTCTTCCTATCTTTCTTGTTAGAAAATTTCTGATTTAATGTTCTGTCTATGAAATTCTGGGTTCCCTCTCTAGAAAGTTTGAGAAAAAACTTTCCTCAAATACAGAGCAGGAAAACTAGTCTTTAGTACGAAGCTTGCCCCTGGGCCAAGAGTCCAGGGAGTAAAATCGGGAAGGGAATACAGTAGGACTGCGGTGGAGAGGAAAGGTACCTGCCACAGAGTCAGGCTTGGGGGTGGGAGAGTAAGTGGGGACAATTGGTAGAGGGTTGTGGATGCTGGTGAAGGAATTAAGGTTGGAACATCGTATGCCTGCAACTCAATCATAAATATCTTTGTAACTTTGTAATTTATAGTGATTAAGTTAAAACAACAAAACCATACCCCAAATGTCCCCCAAGAAGTTAAAGCTATATAGTGTTTTAAATTCTTTATAGTTAAGCAGATTTAATTTAAGATGCATTGATTTTCTTATTACAAGATCTGACTTTCCAACTAACACTGGCAAGTCAATCTGGTTCATGAGTTAAACAGTGATGACAAAAAGCAGTAATCAGACAGTAAAGGATAATCTCAGAATTAAATTTTGTGTTTCGGTTGTTCTCCACCTTTCTAAATCAAGTAAAGCAGAATTATGATACAAAATATTCAGTTCCTTTTTTTTTTTTTATGTAGGAGTACTGCTACTTACTCAGTCACTGATTGAATTGGGCATGAACTCCACCTTACTTTTTTTTTCATTTTTTATAACATTATTTATTGAATCACCGTGAACTCTGATCATTTTTTAGAAAGCATTTTAAACTTAAGATTTAAGTGTTTCAGTTTTTTTTTTTTTGTGTGTGTGTGTGTGAGGGCGTGCACAGCTTGCAGCACTCAGAGTTACTCCTGGCTCTGCACTCAGGAATCACTCCTAGTGGTCTCTGGGGCCCATATGGATACTGGGTCGGCCATGTGCAAGGCAGGTGCCTTACCCATTCTACTATCGTTCTGACCCCTTAAAGTGTTTGAGATTTTGAAAGCAACTTTGAGTACAAAATATGACAGCTTTAAAAGCATTAATAGAATTGAATATCAGGCTGAACTTTAAAAATAAATTATAGGATTATACAAATAATTTGGGCTGGAGCGATAGCACAGCGGGTAGGGCGTTCGCCTTACAAGTGGCCAACATGGCCGACCCGAGTTCGATTCCTCCGCCCCTCTCGGAGAGCCCGGCAAGCTACCGAGAGTATTCGATATGCCAGACACAGTAACAACAAAGTCTCCAATGGAGACGTTACTGGGCCCGCTCGAGCAAATCGAAGATCAATGGGAGGGCCTTTACTTTACTTTACTTTTACAAATAATTCAGCTGAGATACCTTACATATTTGCCAATTTTTGTATTTTTTCCCCTTTGTCTCTAGTTTGTGACCGGTGAGGTAAAGTAAATGAAAAAGTTTTCACTTTCAATCATTCATTTAGAAAATGTATTAAAAATTTGTCGAAGACAAAGGTAACATTATTCAGAAGATTATTTAATGAAGAAAGGTATTTATTGTGTTAGGGTCCGAGCTCAGGACAGCCTCACCTGTCAAGGAAAACTCTGAGAGACCAAGTCCATGCAAAAGCAAGAGGTTTATTCGAGCATGCTCAGGCTCACAGCATGACCGCAAACTGTCAGTGACTGAGAGCCTCTTCAAAGGGGTCTTTTTATAGGGCATCTTCCCACGCATTTCAGAAAGCCCGCGCACAAATCACCCAATACATTTGAATTATCACATTAGATGCTGCACGCAGGCAGCCAATCATTTTGCAACAAGCCATCAGCACCAGCCACTGTCTTCTGTACCTGTCACCAGGCCCTCCCAAAGGGCAGTCAATTAGGCCTTTTCATTAGGCCTTCTCTGACCTTGTGGCCTTATCTGGTGAATTCCAGGTGCAAAGAGGAGATGGGGGTACTTGGTGTTGGGCCTTGGTAGGCGGATTCCAGGACAAGGAGATGCCTCATTAGGCCTTCTCCGGGCTTGTGGCCTTATCTGGCAAATTCCAGGTGCAAGGAGGAGATGGGGGTACTTGGTGTTGCTAGTCTGCCGCAGCTGCAGGACGGGATATGGGCTGGGACTTGCTTTGCTAGGGCCCAATTGTCATGGGGCTATCTTTGAATTGTACATCAGTGAACCCATAAATGTTGGTAATGGTTCTCAGAAATTGTCTTGAATCCTTGGAGAAAATTCCAGAGAAAAATGCCTGTGAGAACATTATTTACTTCCTAAATTAGTTCTAAAACAGATTTCTGGAATGTCCAAAGTGAGAAAAGATTTTTGTTTGGGTGCTAGAGAGTGAATCCAGGGCCTCATGCTTGTGAAGCATGTGCTCAAGGATTGAGTTACATTCCCTGACTGAGGAAGGAATATTTTGGAACAGATCAGATACTAGGTAAAGAGTGGGGATTCGGAATGGATAGAACTAAGGAATGGGAAGGAATAAAGAGTTCACGTAGACTCCAATACAAATGAAGCAAAAGATACTCCCAATAATCATTTTCTTCACAAGAAAGTTCTTACATATTATTTCCCTGCCATTCTAAATTCCATATTCGTGTCATAGAAATGGTGAATCTAATGAAATCCAGTTGCTGTGGGTGAAGAAAACTATTTCATTAACTGAAATATTTTAACAGTTCAAAGGAAGATTTAGAAGATAAAATGGAAAATTTCACTTATTTTGTGTGAATGATTTATACTCTGCATTAAATAAGGATATTAACTTCAAGGAACAGTCCCTTGGGACCAGGGAATAGCTTAGGAGTCTGGGCCATATGTTGTGTATGCACAAGGCCTAGAATTTGATCTCTTGCGTGGTGTGGCTCCCCGGACACCCCCAGCACTACTGGACCTGAGCAGCATTGACTGCCATACCTCTGCTTTGAAGTATCTGCCAGAGTATTGTAGGAGTAGATTCTGGACTCTCAAGCTCTGCTTGGAAGGTCCCCATCAGATGTGTCCTTAACGGACATTCTAACAGTTTAAAATAAAGAGCTGTGATCATGCGAAAAATGTTTACTAACACAACTTACGAATTCAGATTTAACATTCAACTTTAGAATAATTAAATTTGTCCTAAATTTAAGACAGTTTTAGGTTTAAAATGGTTTTAGAATTTATACTTCATTCTTGTTGTGTAGATACAAAAGAAGTAATAAGACTTGGAGAGGGAGCTCAACTGTCTGTAATACATACTTTGCATACAGGTGACTTGATTTCAATCCCTGGCATCAGTATGGTCCTTCAGTCATTACCATAAGTGACCCCTTAGCACTGAGCTGTGAGTAGTCCCCTGTTTCTCTTGATGTGCCCTCCACCACCCCAAAAGAATAATACTAGTAGAGCAAAGTCAGTGTGTACCTGGCCAGTGAGAGTCTTGCTATTATGTTGAAATACTGATATGAAAAAAGTCATGTCGGGGCTGAAGAGATAGTACAAGCTGGTGAGGCACTTGCCTGGCATGCCCCCAACCCAGGTTCAATCCCCGGCATCCCATTTGCTCCCCTGAGTCCACCAGGAGTGATTCCTGAGTGCAAAGTCAGGAATAACCCCCAGCATCACAGGGTGTGGCCCAAAAACCAAAACTAAATCCAAAATAAAAACAGTCATCTGTATGTAAAACATATTTACATACCATCTTTTTTAGTAGAAGAAAAGGAGAAACTTTCAGTTGTAAATTTTTTTAATTTAAGCATCCTTGAATCACAATGTAATTGTTGGGGTTGTATTTAATAATAAAACAGGAGCTCTTATTCTATTGGTGTTAAGCTTTCTTTTTTTTTTCCCTATTTGATACCACTTGTGCTAATGAAGCTTCTTTGTTATAGTTGCTATAAAGAAAAAAAATTGTTTCAAAAGGTTTAATCAGGAATTGTCATAGCTATTTTAAGCATAAAACCTCTATATAAAAGTTAAAGTCATTTGAACATTGTCCAGTTTCTAATTTAGAAAGTTGGAAAATTGTAATTTATAATAAATAGGATAAATTTAAAAGTCTTTTATATTTACACTTCCAGATTTCCTTCTGAATATGCTGTAAGAATACTTGCATTTGCTGAATGTGCCATGAAATTGAAATTGTTGACCGCTGGTGTAGAGATGTTTACTTATAAATGAAGCCAGCAATCAAGAATCATCATGTATTTGAAGAAAATCAACAGATAACAAGTCAAATAAGCGATATTGTTCACCCTTTAAGAAAAAAATATTTCTGAATAATCAAAAAACTGTAAGTAAAATGAGTGGATTCAACAGGAAATTTTGTTAATAATAACTGAAAATGATGGGGAAAGGAAAGTTGGAGGCTAGGAATGAAAAGATAATTTTCTAAATATTTAATAGGATTACTGTGGTAGAAATAATATGACTGAAAATTACAGGTATCTGTTAAGTGAATTGAGTAACTGATTGGTCTTAAGAAGCCCACCAAATCTTTTATGTCTTAAAGAACTCCTAGTGGAACTGTGTCTATGGGCTGAGTGTATTAGACATCTGTGAACAGATAGTTTTTTTTTTTTTTTAATGCTTCAGTAAAATTCTTTTGGTTTGCTCTTTTTGTTTTCTTGAGGATCCTTTAGAGCTGATAATTGCTGATTAGGTAGAGCTACACAAAGTACAAAATGAAAACAATGGTCCACCTAAAAAAGTGAACATCTGTGGAAAGAAGCTGAATAGAGCCTCTAGAATAGGACAGTTATTAAAACAGGTCTTGAAATAGAATTAAAACTTTGATAAAAGAATGAATAACCACCTTTAGGGAAACTCAAGTGGAGCATGAAGAAACATCCTGGGAAATCAAGAAGTGGGCAGAGTGGGTTCTTTATGAGTGCTTAGGGGGAAGGACAAGTTTTAGGTCCACTCTGAGTTTGTGAATGACTACCATATCCCTCACCCCCCCACCTTCCCTACAATGCTGATTCTGTTTCTGTCCACGGCTTTCATTTGAATTTTTTAAATAATATATATATTTTTTTAAAATTTTATTGAATCATCGTGAGATAGTTATAAGCGTTCGTGTTTGGGTTACAGTCACACAGTGATATCAAATACCCATCCCTCCACCAGTGCACATTCCCCACCACCAGTATCCTCGGTATACCCCCCTCTTCCACCTTCCCCCTGCCTTCATGGCAGACATCATTCCCCATAATCTCTACTTTTGGGCATTATGGTTTGCAGTACAGACTCTGAGAGGGTAACACGTTTGGTCTTTTATCTACTTTCTGCACACATCTCCCATCCAGACTGACTCCTTCAGGCATCTTTTTCTTAGTGATCCCTTCTATATTCCAGCTGCCTTCTCCCCTTTGCTCATGAGGCAGGCTTCCAGCTATGAAGCAATCTGTCTGTCCCGTGTATCTACTATCCTTAGGTATCAGCCTCATGTTATGTTTTATACTCCACAAATGAGTGCAGTCCTTCTATGTCTGTCCCTTTCTTTCTGACTCATTTCACTTAGCATGATACTCTCCACATCTATCCATTTATAAGGAAAGTTCATGACTATCCATTTATAAGCAAAGTTCATGACAAAGTTCATAGTGTTCCATTATGTAGATGTACCAAAGTTTCTTTAACCAGTCATCTGTTGTAGGGCACTTGGGTTGTTTCCAGATGTTGTGAACTGTGCAGCAATGAACATATAGGTACAGATGTCATTTCTCCTGTACTTTTTTGCATCCTTAGGATATATTCCCAGAAGTGGTATTGCGGGTTCATATGGAAGCTCAATTTCTAGTTTTTTTTTTTTTTTAATTTCTTTATTGAATCACCGTGGGAAAGGTTACAAAGCTTTCAGGTTTAGGTCTCAGTCATGCAAATATCAAACACATTTCCCTTTACCAAAACTTATTTTTTACCATGAAGAACCCCAATAAAACCCCACCCCCCACCCCTCCCAGTCCCTGTGGGGCAGATGAATTCTAGTTAACACTCTATCTGCTTTGATTAGATTCATTGTTTCAATAAAAGATTCACCACTATTATTTAGAGTTTACCCCCCCCCCCCCCCCCAAATCAGACATGCTGAAAAAGCATTGTGAAGTGATTTGCTTTCTACAGCTGGGTTCAAGAATTAAATGTTGGTTTTGGATTTCTGCTATTTTACTTATTGACCCTGGAAGTATTTCTACTGAAAGTCAGATAGTTAAGAAATTGGTTTCTGTGCACTGGAGACGTGGCCGTGCTGGAGAGCCGCTAGTGGGGGGCAACTGGTGGCCTTGGTAGGGCGTGAAGGGCGGACCGAAACGCCCCCCTTCCCATGAGACAATTTCTAGTTTTTGAAGGACTGTCTGTATTGTTTTCCAGAAAGGCTGGACTAGTGGGCATTCCCACCAACAGTGAAAGAGTGTCTTTTTTTCTCCACATCCACGCCAGCTCTGGTTGCTTTTGTTCTTTTGAATGTGTGCCAGTCTCTGTGGTGTGAGATGATATCTCGTTGTTGTTTTGATTTGCATCTCCCTGATGGCTGGTGATGTGGAGCTTTTTTTTTTTTTTTTGCTTTTTGGGTCACACCTGGTGATGCTCAGGGGTTACTCCTGGCTCATGCACTCAGGAATCACTCCTGGCGGTGCACGGGGGACCATATGGGATGCTGGGAATCGAACCTGTGTCGGCCATGTTGGCTGAGTGCAAGGCAAACGCCCTACCCGCTGTGCTATCGCTCCAGCTCCTGTATTTCTTTTTTGAGGAAACGTCTGTTCATTTCTTCTCCCCATTTTTTGATGGGGTTTGAGCTTTTTTTCTTGTACAATTCTACTAGTGTCTTGTATATCCTGGATATTAATCCCTTATCAGATGGGTATTGGGTACATATTGTTTCCCATTCTGTGGGCTCTTTCTGTATTTTGGTCACTGTTTTTTTTGAAGTGCAGAAGCTTCTTAGTTTGATGTAGTCCCTTTTGTTTATGTTTGCTTCCACTTGCATGGTCAGTGGTGTTTCATCCTTAAAGATGCTTTTAGCTTCAATGTCATGGAGAGTTCTTCCTACATTTTCCTCTATGTACCTTATGGATTCATATCTGATATTGAGGTCTTTAATCCACTTTGATCTGACTTTTGTGCCTGGCATTAGACAGAGGTCAGATTCATTTTTTTTGCAGGTAGCTATCCAATTTTCCTAGCACCACTTGCTGAAGAGGCTTTCCTTGTTCAATTTCACATTTCTTGCTCCTTTGTCAAAGATTAAGTGGTCATATATTTGAGGGTCTGTGACAGAATATTCAACTCTGTTCCATTGGTCTGCAGGTCTGTTTCTAGCCCAGTACCATGCTGTCTTAATTAATACTGCTTTCTAGTACAGTTTGAAGTTGGGGAGGGTGATGCCACCCATCTTCTTTTTCCCAGGGATTGGTTTAGCTATTCGTGGGGGTTTATTGTTCCATATGAATATCAGGAGTGTTTTGTCTCTTTCTTTGAAAAATGTTATGGGTATCCTGATAGGGACCACATTGAATTTGTATAGTGCTTTGGGTGGTATTGCCTTTTTGATAATGTTAATCCTCCCTATCCATGAGTAGGGGATGTGTCTCCATTTCCTAGTGTCTTCTTTTATTTCTTGAAGTAGTGTATAGTAATTTTCCTTGTATAGGTTCTTCACCTCTTTGGTTAAGCTGATTCTGAGGAACTTGATTTTCTGAGGTACTATTGTGAACAGGATTTTTTTAAAAATGTATCTTTATTTTCTTTCATTATTTGTATATAAGAAAACCATGAACTTCTGGGTGTTGATTTTGTAGACTGGCGCTTTACTAAACCGACCTATTGTTTCTAGGAGCTTTTCTGTAGAATCTTTAGGATTTTCTAAGTATAGTGTCATATCATCTGAAAATAGTGATATTTTGACCTCTTCCTTTCCTATCTGTATTCCCTCGATACCTTTCTCTTACCTAACTGCAATGTGCAGGACTATAGTACTTCTAGTACTATATTGAATTGGAGTGGCGAAAGTGGGCAACCTTGTCTTGTGCCTAATCTTAGAGAGAAGGCTTTTCGTTTTTCCCCACTGAGAATGATATTTGCCATGGGCTTGTGGTAGATGGCTTTGACTATATTGAGGAAAGTTCCTTCAATGACTGTTTTCCTGAAAGTTTTCATCATAAATGGGTGCTGGATCTTATCACATGCTTTCTCTGCCTCTATTGATGTGATCATGTGTTTTTTAATCTTTTCTTTTGTTGATATGATCGATTATGTTGATCCATTTCTGATTGTTAAACCATCCTCGCATCTCTGGGATGAATCCTACTTAGTCATGGTGTATGATCTTTTTGATGAGTCGTTGGATTCTGTTTGCTAATAGTTTATTGAGGATCTTTGCGTCTGTGTTCATCATGGGTATCAGCCTGTAATTCTCTTTCTTTGTGGTATCTCTCTGTCTGCTTTTGGTATCAGGGTGATATTTGCTTCATAGAAACTGTTTGGAAGTGTTTTTGATACTTCAATTTTGTGGAAAAGCTTAAAGAGGATTGGGAGTATGTCCTCTTTAAAGATTTGGAAGAATGCACTAGTGAATCCATCTGGGTCAGGACTTTTGTGCTTGGGGAGACTTTTTATTACCGTTTCAATTTCTTTGATGGTGACAGGTCTGTTCAGGTATTCCAGGTCTTCTTGGTTCAGCCTTGGGAGGCTATAGGAATCTAGGAATTTTATCCATTTCCTCGAGGTTTTCATGTTTCATGCCATAAAGCTTCTCAAAGTACTCCCTGAGGATCCTTTGCATTTCTGTAGTTTCTGTTGTAATGACCCCCTTTTCATTTCTGATTCGGTTTATTAGGGTATTCTCTCCCCTTTTTTGGTAAGTTTTGCTAGAGGCTTATCAATCTTGTTTATTTTCTCAAAGAACTAGTTCTTGGTTTCATTGATCTTGCGGGTTGTTTTTTTGGGTTTCCATCTTGTTAATCTCTGCTCTGAGTTTTATTATTTCCTTCCTCCTTTTCGGATTGGGCTCCTTTTGTTGGTCATTCTCCAAGCTCTTAAGCTGTGAGGTTAGGTTACTTATGTGGGCTTGCTCCTCCTCCCTGAGGAATGCTTGTAGAGCTATAAATTTTCCTTTTAACACAGCTTTTGGTGTGTCCCATAAGTTTTGATAACTCATGTCCTTATTTTTGTTCATTTCTAGGAATCTTTTGATTTCCTTTTTGATTTCCTTTCTAAGCTACTCGTTGTCCAATAGTGAGCTGTTTAATTTCCAGGTGTTTGATTTAGTTTTTTTGGGGTGTAATTTACTTCTAATTTCAGCACATTGTGGTCTGAGAAGATTGTTGATACAATCTCTATCTTCTTAATTTTATAGAAGTATGTTTTGTGGCTCAGCATGTGGTCTATCTTGGAGAATTTTCTATGCACACTTGAGAAGAATGTGTATTTAGCTTTTTTGAGGATGAAGTGACCTGTATATATCTACTAAGTCCCTTTCTTCCATTTTTTCCCTCAGATGAAGTATGTCCTTGTTAAACTTGAGTCTGGTTGATCTATCAAGAGGTGATAAAGCGGTGTTGAAGTCTCCCACTAGTATTGTGTTGCTATCAATGTCTTTCTCCAAGTATGTGAGTAGTTGTTTTCAGTACTTTGCGGGTCCCTCATTAGGTGCATATACATTTAGTATTGTAAGTTCTTCCTGTTGTACTGATCCCTTGATTAATAAGAAATGGCCTTCACTGTCTCTTGTGAACTTCTTCAGTCTGAAATCAATGTGGTCTGATACTAGGATGGCTACCCCAGCAAAATATGGGAGTTGTTTGCCTGTAGGATTGTTTTCTAGCCTTTAACTGTGTTTGCGCTGACTTGAGATGTGTTTCTTGCAGGCAGCAGAATCTTGGGTTCAATTTTTCTAATCCATCCTGCCACTCTGTGTCTTTTAATTGGTGCGTTTGACCCATTGATGTTGAGAGAGATTATTGTTATGGGGTTTTGTTCCATTTTTCTGTTGAAATTTGGTGTATTTGAGGAGCCTGTCTTGTCTTAAAGTAGCCCATTTAGTTGTTCTTATAACCATGGTTTTTAGTCTATGAAGTTCCTGAGCTGTTGTTTGTCGTGAAACTGTGTGTTGTTCCTTCTGTTATGAATGAGAGTCTCGCTGGGTAAAGTATTTTTGGTGAGGTATTTATTTCAATAGTTTTTTCACTATATCCCGCCACTGTTTTCGGGCCATGAGGATTTCATTGGACAAATCGGCTGTGAATCTTAAGGATGCTCCTTTATAGGAAATATTTTCTTTGATCTTGCTGCTTTCAGAATTTTGTCTCTATCTAAGGTTTTGGTCATTTTGATCAGGATGTGTCTTGGGGTATTTTTATGCGGATTTTTTCTAGCTGGTACCCTTGGGGCCTCCTGAATGTAGTCGCATGTTTTCTTTAGCTCTGGAAATGTCATAGCAATGATGTCTTTGACAGTTTCTTCTTCATCAGGGTTTTCTTCCTGTCTCTCTGGGACTCCAGTAATTCTTATGTTACTGCTCTTGGCTTCATCACAATCTCCTCTTTCCATATGTTCCCGGATTATGAGAGTCTCTTTTCTAATTTTTGCTCTTTTCTGGAGTGTCTCTGGACTTCATCTTTGAGCTCACTGATTCTGTCCTCAGCAGCTGTTACTCTGCTGCTGAGGCCTTCCACTGAGTTTTTCAATTCACCTACCAGGTTTTTCAGGTCTGACATTTCCATTTGTATTTTGTTTGGATTTTCCTCATTTCTACCTTCAAATCCTCTTGTCTTTTATTGGCATTGCTTTCCATTGTTTCTTTTAGGTCCCTGAGCATCCTCAGCAGCTCCCTTCTAAATTCCTTGTCAGAGAAGTTGTCTAGGACTTCATTACTGTTGGGGTCTTCTGGGCTAGCCTACTCAATAAGTAAGCTTGGTGGGCATCTGCATTGCTTTATCATTGTGACCTATGTGGTTTAGACCTTCATGCTCACTGCTACTATTCTGCTTATGATGCAGAATGAATTGAGATGGGCTTAATGAATTATTGGCTAATGTGTTTCTGGTGGTTAAGCTAACCTAGTGAACATTCCATCTAAGATGGTAATTTATGGTTCCTGTAGGATATGTAGGGAGAGAATAACTTGTGGCCGTGTTAGTGGCCGCGGCTCCGGGAAGGGGCCCTGTCACCGGGCGTGTACATGGATGAGTGAGCAGAGGGTGCCCAGAACAGTTCAGTTTTGGGTGCACACCGTGTGCCTCAATTTCTGTCCCCCGCAGAACAAGGATGAGAACTGGCTGCTCTTGGGGTTGTAGTTAGACACACAGCCTCAGGAATGGGCCCTGCCACTGGGCGGGTACCTGGATGAGTGAGCAGAGAGTGCCTGAAATGATTCAGCTTTCAGTGTATGCACTGTTCCTCAATTTCCATCCCCTGCAGACCAAGGATGAGAACCGGCCGCTGTTGGGGCTCTAGTTAGATGCACAGCCCTGGGAAGGGGCCCCGCCACCAGGTGGGTACCTGGATGAGGCCATGGTTTTCATTTTTGTAACACCATTCATATTGGCTTAGGAACCACTAACAAATGGCTTCATTTAAATTTGATTTTCTCTGCAAACTCTCTTTTTTATTCTCTAAGTCCAAATCAGACCTTACTCCAAGGTACTGGAAGTTAAAAAGGTAAAGGTAAAGGCCCTCCCGTTGATTGTCGATTTGCTCGAGCGGGCCCAGTAACGTCTCCATTGGAGACTTTGTTGTTACTGTGTTTGGCATATCGAATACTCTCAGTAGCTTGCCGGGCTGTAGTGCGCTATGCCGATCGGGTGTCCGCACTAAGTTCGGCATCAATATGGTGACCCTCCGGGAGCGGAGGACCACCAGGTTGCCTAAGGAGGGGTGAACCGGCCCAGGTCGGAAACTGGAAGTTAAGGCTCCAGCATATTGATTTTCAGGTGGTAGGGTTGCGTTTCATCTCATAACAAGAGGAAATTTTTCTGATCTTAAATGGTGCAAAGACATCTTTTTCTAAGGACTCGCTGATCTTGAGAAGTTTTAATGTGTGTTGTTTTAGACTCTTTAAAAGAAAAATCTTTGAAAATTCTTTAAATTCTGAGATTGGGATAAAGGATTTGCTTATAATTAAAAAATGTGCCAGAAAAACAATGTACTTATTTTCATTTGCAGTATATTAAAATTTGAACCAGAAACTTAAACCATTTTTAGTAATGACTTGGGATGGGCGAGATAGTGCAGTAAGCAAGGTGCTTGGTTTACACACGTGGACCAGGGTTCCATCCCTAGCATGGTCGCCTGAGCACCAACAGGAGTGATCCCTGACATAGCCAGGTATGCCCCAGAAGTGGAAAAGGGAAGAAAATGGATAAAGAACAACAACAAAATCACACCAAAAGCCAATTATGAGAACAATAAAATGACTGTTGCCAGAAGATAAGTGGGTGGGGGCTGGGCAAAACATGTAGAGAAGGTTGTTTGTATGTTGGTACATGGAAACACCTTTTTATTGGAATCATGATATAGCATATACACACTTTGAATTATGCTGTATATACCTGAAACATATAATGTTATGAGTCAATGTTATGTCAATAGAATTTCAAAAAGGAAGTGGAAGATTGAAACATCTACAAACTACTGAGAGATTGTTATACTCAACCAAACTTATCATTCTCCTATTTGAAAACGTTTACACATGCAGGGGATTATGGTCCACCTGAAGAGCAGTTTGAAGTTCTCTAAACCAGTGTCTCCAAAATGGTCAGTACCACACATAGCGTGTACTGAGACCAATGAGTATTTTTGAGATGAGAGTTGTAGTAGGGTGCTTTTTTGGAGTGCTTCCCGTTTGTTCTCTTGAAGAAGTTAGATTTCTGGGGATGCTGAGCAATTCCACCCCTGCACCCCCCCTTGGAAAGTGTAGGGATAGAAGGTCATAAATTTGCAGATCTAAACAGATACTTAAGCCCCAGCGGAGATTGAAAGATAATGTACGGCAACACGAGTATTGTGAGCTCCATAGATAATGTGTGATTATGTAAATATTTATGCATATAATAAGGATTCTTGAAGTATGAAATATTTGGAAATTTGTTAGGCTATAGCTAAAACCTTATCAGCAAAAACCAGCAGTTAGAAAGGTGAAACAAACACATTACTAGAAATTTGCTTTGCTAGTTAGAGGGAAAGTACAAATGTAGGGTTCCAGTGAAAGGTATATACTTAAATTATTTTGTTTAGAGATTATAGTAAAGTAGGATTTTGACCTTGACAGTGAGAAAGATCATATTGAAAAGAGTGAATGATTTCAACATGTTTGAAAAACATGGAAGAATAGTATGGGGAAACTGAAAAAAGTAAATACTACTCAAAATAAGATGAGAGAGAAAAAAATTCTTCAAATGTGAGTCAAAGAAAATGAACAACAGAAACAAAAATCCCAGGTCTGTCAATAATTGCTTAAAAGTAGCATTAAGAAATTAAAAAATCTTTTTAAAGATAGCCAAAAGAAAATGGGCACTCGTGATCATTGTATAACTGAAACCCAAGCACGAAAGTTTGTAAGTCTCAACTGTACCTCATGGTGTTTCACTAATAAAAAAAAAAGAATTAAAAAAAAAAAAGAATGTTGGGCGTTCCAGTTAAGAAGGTGGCAGCATAGAAGCAATTGTCGGAGGTACAGCAGCTCTCAGTGCTCTGAGAAACTGATGGGGCCACAAAATTTTGTGTGAGTAGACATGGATGCCCCATGGATGTCATGGATATTCTGACTCAGGGAGAGTGCCATTAAAAGAACCAGCAGGTCACCTGCTGTGGAGCGCTGACTGGAGTGTGATAGTGAGGACAGTGGCAATGCAACCACCAGCAGATGGAGGTCCCACAGTTCTTGGCACTATGGGCAGTGGCAGAGTGTTAACAGGTCTGAATTTGGCTCTTCCAGTCCAGCTCAGCACCACTGTTCCTTTTCCTGATAACCCCAAATCACTCTGCCTGTGGCTGGACTCCAGCAACTCAGAACCCAGTTTCCCAAGAACTTAAACTGCCAAAAGTATATGTGGGAGCCACAAACCACTTCTGGCTCAGCCATACAACCTCATTTATCGACCTTGCTTCAGAGAATCATAAATAAATCTTGAAAGAGATCAGCAGCTGCAGTTAATCTCGGAACTGCACAAGACTGGACAGACTAGGGTAGATTGGAAGGGGATAGGTAGCCTGGTGTCTGCCCAAGCAGAGCATCTGGCAGCCACTTGCTTTTAAAATCCAAAATTGCTGCCATGACCCTAGCGAGACTTCACCATTTTGGGATAGATATTCACAATCACAAGCACGATCATCTTGTTGTTTGTTGATTGCCTTGAGCAGGCACCAGTAACGTCTGCTTCGTCCTAGTCCTGAGATTTTAAAGTGCCATATTCAAGGCTCTTTCAGGGCTAAGAGAATGAGACCCATCATTGTTACTGGTATTTGGCATATTGGGTACGCCACGGGGAGTTTGCCAGACCCTGCTGTGTGGGCAGGTTACAACAGGTAGCCTGCCAGGTTGTCCAAAAGTAAATCACTTATCACTTAACTTCCCGTTAATCGTCGATATGCTCGAGCAGGCGCCAGTAATGTCTCCATTCGTCCTTGTCGCGTGCCAGTGTAGCCCAGTGGCATCTGTTCGCTCTGGGAACATGAAGAGCCTCAAACCGATCGTTCATGATCTTGATGAAGAAGTCTGACCATCTGGTAGGTGGGCAGCCACGCGGTCTTTTGACATCCTGTGGGATGTGGGATCCAGTCGGTAACAGCTCTAGTCCAGCGATCATCTTTAAATCTCATTACGTGGCCACCCCATCTGATTTTTGACACCTTGGCAAACGAGACAGTGTCCCTGATTCTTGATCGTTGACAAATGTCAGAACTCCGGATTCTTTCTCTCATTTGAGTGAAACGTGATATTCCAAGCATAGCTCTTTCAATTCCTCTTTGGGAGACCCGAATCGCGTTCTCATTCTGTTTGCGTAGGGCCCAGGTCTCTGAGGCATATGTTAATGCAGGAAGAACAGTGGAATCAAAGAGATGTGCCCAGAGCCGGAGGTTCTTCATCCTCTTAGCTATTTCTTCGATGTTCTTGAAGGCGTTCCAAGCCGCTCTCTTCCTCCTGCGCAGCTCGGGTGCCAGGTCATTTGTCATGTTGACTTCTCGACCTAGGTACACATAGCTGTTGCATTCAGAGATGGTGGTTCCATTGAGAGCGAATGGGGCATCAGGAACGAGGCTGTTTCTCATAAACATTGTCTTCGTAAGATTCAGCTGTAGTCCTACCTTTTCACACTCACGGTCAAAGTCGGCCAGCATTTGTGCCGCTTGGCTGATGTTTGGTGTTATTAAAACAATGTCATCAGCAAAGCGGAGGTGGTGTAGTTGCCGACCATCTATCTTCACTCCCGTTCCTTCCCATTCCAGTCGTCGCATGATGTTCTCGAGGGTGGCACTGAAGAGTTTCGGTGAAATGATATCACCCTGCAGAACCCCTCTCTTGACATCAATGATTACTTCTTTGTAGAATGGTGAGATCCTGGTAGTGAATCCGCAATACAGCTCACGGAGGATCTTGATGTATTGGGCTTGAATGCCCTGATTGGCTAGGGCTTCAATGACCGCTTCTGTCTCAACAGAATCAAAGGCCTTCTTTAAATCAATGAACGTTAAACAGAGCGGCATCTTGAACTCTCGAGAAACCTCAATGAGCTTGGTTATTGTGTGGATATGGTCGATGGTGCTGAATCCTTTGCGGAACCCGGCTTGCTCGCATGGTTGTCCTTCATCTAGTATTCTGCCAATCCTATTTAGGATGACTTGAGTGAACAACTTGTAGATGACAGACAATAGGCAGATCGGGCAATAGTTGCCAATGTCATGGATGTCTCCCTTCTTGAACAGTAGTACAGTCCTGCTGGTTTTCCATTGGGGTGGAACCTTGCATTCAGACAGGTAGCGAGTTAAGAGCCGAGCCAGTGTATTGATGAGTACTGACGGCAGGTTCTTCAGGTGTTCAGGTCTGACCTTGTCTGGGCCGAATGCTGTTTGTTTCTTTACTGACGAAATGGCGTGTTGGATTTCGGAAGGGAGAACGTTGGGAACGACATATCCATCCTGTGGAATTTGGTATGTTGGCAAGTGGACATGGCTATCGAAGAGATTTGAGTAGAAGTCATGGATAATCTTCTCCATTGCCGTTCTGGAGGATGTGATGGATCCATCAGGACGTCGGAGGGCAGACATCTTGGTCTTGTAGTTGGCGAAGGACAGGCGGGCGTTACGAATACTTTTCCCGCCTTCTGCCGCATCTACCAGCACTTCTGCTCTTCTCTCTTTGAGGTCTTCCTTGATCGCATCTCTGCACTGCTTTGCGAGCTCCGACGTTAGCTTGAGGTTGCCTGAGGCATGCGCCAAACCACGTTGGCGAATAAGGTCAAGAGTTTTCGAAGACAGGCGTTTTTTTGACACTACCTCCACTACCCAGCTGCCGCCACACTCCAGGACGCTTTCTGGTCCCGCGCGGCTGCTTTGCGGCCACGCGACTCATCATAAGACACTAAATACCCATCTTCCGGAATTGCCGTACCATATTTGATAGGGTTCAAATATGGTAACACCTACGAGGGCGATTAGAGGTCGCCCCAAAAGCCTCTATCCCTCTCGGAAAGACTGGCAAGCTGCCAAGAGTATTCCGCCCACATGGCAGGGCCTGGCAAGCTATCTGTTGTGTATTCGATATGCCAAAACCAGTAATTACAACTGGTCTCATTCACCTGACCCTGAAGGCTTCACCGACATTGCAGCACTGAGAAGGATGAGAAAGGAGAGGCCGATAAAATCTTAATGCCGAACTAGGTTGCCACAACGAAGGAAGACAAAAATGATCGTCTGTACTTTAAATGCACATACGCTAGCATCAGATGCATCCATTGAGGACCTGATGGTACAAGCGCGAATGATCAAGTACGACATCATTGGTCTGACCGAGACAAGAAGTCACGAATCTCACCATGCCGTTTTTGACACTGGAGAAGAATTGTTCCTCGGAACATGCGATAAAAGAGGTGTTGGAGGCGTCGGTGTCCTTGTCAACACAAACTTGGCCATGAGCATTGATTCATTCGAATGCCTAACAACCCGAATCGGACGTTTACATTTGAATAGATGTGGCTCACTGCCTGCAGTTTCTATCTTCGTTGTCTACGCACCAACATCTCATTATGATGAAAGAGAAATTGAGAAGTTCTACATGGAGCTGGAGAAGTTCTATAAAGAAGACCACACCTTCTACAAGATCATTGTGGGTGATTTGAATGCCAAGATAGGACCGAGAAGATCAGCTGAAGAACTTCACATCGGGACCCATGGCCTAGAATGGAACGAACAGGGTGAGAGACTGTCTGAGTTCATCATGTCGACCAAGACCATCCGTGGTAACTCACAGTTCCAGAAGGCAGAATCTAAATGTTGGACATGGGAGTCTCCCAGTGGATGATTTCACAACGAAGTAGACCACATCATATTCAATCAACGGTTTTGCCTGACCGATGTTGCTGTTGTTCCAAAATTCCAAACGGGATCGGACCACCGTCTCCTTCGTGCAAAATTCTACTTCACAGAGCGGGGAGAAAGGGCTGCAGAGTTTAAAAAGAGAACTCCCAGAATGACCACCAACTGGGAGCTCTTTGGCACTATTGCGGCAATATGGGAAGATGCCATTGTTGACAACATTGACGAGGAATACCATTGACTGGTTCAGCCTCTCCATGATTGTGCGAGGAAAGCCAAGCGAGAAATAATCCAAAAGTAAGAATGAGATAATAAGTGTTGATTCGCCATTGATGGGTATTACACAGAGCCAGGCGGTCAGTTGGTGGGTGTGACCCCTGCCTACTGGAAGATGAAGAATCTGGGTGGAGGATGCTCAGCTCCAATTCGAGCAGGCTTGGAGATCTCAGCCCCAGGACCCACATGCCTTTGTTTCTCTGCCGGTACCTTCATGCTTGTGGAGAGTGGTCTCAGCATGGTGGTGGCTGGTTCTGGAGGTCTTCGGCTGCCAGAGCTTTGCTCGGGGCGGGGAGGGAAACTCCACTCGCCCCCCTGCAAGGGGCTCCAGGGAGGACAGCCAGGCGCAGGGACAGGAGACTCTGCCAAGATATTAATCTGCTGAAAATTTTGGTATGCAGATTTTGTAACTGAAATATCAAGTCTCTCTTGGGGTTGGGGGTTGGGATGGGCTACCTTCCCCCACCTCCCTGTACTTCCAGAAGTCCCAGCAGTCATGTCCACAACCCAAGGCCACCACCCAGTTACAAACCATAATGCACAAAAAGAAAGGAAAAGGGAAGAAGGGAGGGAGGGAAGGGAGCGGCAGTGGGAGAGACACAGAGAGAAAGACAGAGGGAGTAAAGGTGCCTGACACAGAGGGAGATGGGAGTGGGGTGTGGAGTGGAGGAAGAAGGAAATTGGAAACATTGGTGGTGGGAAATGTACACTGGTGGAGGGATGGGTGCTGCAACATTGTATGACTGAAACCGAATCATGAATAGGTTTGTGATGGTCTGTCACATGGTGGTTCAATAAAATATTAAAAAAAAAAAGATCGGTACACAAAAATTGCTGCTCATATTCAATTATAAATTAATATAAATAACTCTTGTATACAGTGACCTGTGTCCCTTCAAAGATTAATTTTTTTGGTTGGGGAGGATTGGGTCATACCCAGCAGTGCTCAGGGCCTATTCTGGGATTTGTTCTCAGGGATCACTCCTGGCTTTGCTCTGGGGACTTTGTATGGTGCTGGGATCAAACCTAAGTTAGCCATGTTCAGGGCAAGTGCCCAAGAATAATCTAAATTGGATTAATTATTGAAATCCTTATGTCTTTTGAAGAATGCCTCCACTGCGGATTAGTCTGTAATTTAAACTATGTTTGCTTTATTTACTTTTGGAGGGCCATGCCTAGCAATGCTCAGGGCTTACTTTTGGCTCTGCACTGAAAGATGTCTCTTGATAATGCTCAGTGGACCATGTGTGGTTCTGGGGATAAAATCTGGGTTGATGGTGTGCAAGGCAAGTGTCTTACCTCTCTTCCCTCTCTCCTGTCCCTTAAAGCTTTTTTTGTTTTGCTTCTTTTTTGTGCTGCAAACAGTAGGGAACTAGGGGCTACTTCTGGGTCAGTGTTACTCACTTCAATAATTATTCCAATAGTTACTCCACTTCAATAGTTACTCCACTTCAATTACTCACTTCAATAATTACTCCAATAGTTACTCCACTTCCATAGTTACTCCACTCCAATAGTTACTCCACTTCAATAATTACTCCCAGCGCTGTTTGGGAAAGTATGTGGTGCTGGGGCTTGAAACTGGTGGTCCCACCTGCAAGGTCGGCACTCTGGCCTTTTGTTTGCTATTGATTAGTCCTCAAACCCAAGGAAATTTAATAAAGATGTTTGGTTTGTTAGCAAACACATTTTCAAATTCTTTGCTTTAGAGCATCTAGAGAGAGTTTTTTTGGTGTTGAACAGAGTATTTATATCTAAACATCAGATATCAGATATTTTAATTAAAATAACATTCTAGGTGGCTGTAGGGGAGAATTATTGAAGTTTTTTTTGTTTTGGCAGTGTGAATGAGTTATTCACACAATTCCAGGATTTTATAGTTGATTTTATAGAACTATATTATTTGTAGAAACTTCAATTTTCTGGCAATTTTGCAAGTGGTCTACTCTGAATAGCAAAAACTTGTCTTCTAGGTTTATAAAAATATATTTTAAGATCATCTATGTGCATCCGTCTCTTACCGCTATTGTCAGTGGGTTTGAATTTATGACAAGTAATAAGTGTATTAACAAGCAGTAGCATTTATAATATTTTACTGTTAATAGAATACATTTTCTTTAGCATACATTTTTTATCTTATTACTGATGATACAAGTGGTAACACCAGGATTTGTGTTGTCAGTTTTAATTCAGTAAATCATAAATTTTATCCAATGCCACAGTTTGCTGATGACTGCCAGTGTAGATGATATTTATTATAAGAGCCCCAAACTTTCAAATGTAGAATCATAATTATACTTTTTTTTTATTAGAGCATGTTATAGTTTGGATTAATGGCTCATTTTGGATGGATGCAAAAAGGAAAAGAAAAAAGGAAAAAACTACAATGAACAATTAAACATAGATAATTGCTGGGTGTTTAAAGATTTCTTCATAGTTTATATTTCTTAATATCAGCAGATTACTCCCAAGTCATAAAAATTTATTTTGCTTATGTCTTATCATTAGAATATGAGGGCCAGAAAGATAGTACATCAGGTAAGGTGCTTTCCTTGCTCTTGGCCAGCCAGGTTCCATTCCTGGCATTCTATAAGGTTCCCCAAGCATCACCAGAAGTGATTCCTGAGTGCAGAGCCAATAGTAAAGGAGTAACCCTGAGCACTATCAGGTGTGTTCTCCTACCCCGCACCCTGCACCCCTGTATCCCTACTCAAAAAAACAACCAAGAGAATATTAGTTGATTAGTATTTCATTGTGTGCATGTGTCACTTCTGCTTGATTTCTCTCTTCTGTCACTGGGTATTTAAGTTGTTTCCAAATCTTGACCATTGCGAAGTATTGAAGAGAACATAGATGTGAATATATCTTTTCAATTAGTGTTTTTTTGTCTGTTATATAGATACTGAGGAGTGGAATTTTTGAGTCTCTTTTTAATTTTTTTTTGGGAAATGTCCCTATTTTTCTGAGGAACTGCCCAGTTTCCATATTCACCCAGTGTATGATGCATGGATTATTTCTCCTTTGAAACAACACTTGATGTGTTTGGTCTTTAGATTCATGGTACTGTCATAGTTGTAAAGTGATACCTCTGTGTAGGTTTTTGTTTTTGTTTGTTTTTTTGGGGGCCACACCGGTGAATCTCAGGGCTTACTCCTGGCTGTGAGCCTGGACTATTTGTGGTGGGCTCAGGAGACCACATGGGATCCTGGGGATTGAACCAGGGTTGGCCACATGCATTCCAAGTGTCCTACCCTCTGTACTCTCCTACCCCGCAGTGTTTTGATTTATATTTCCCTCATAACTAATAATGGTCATAAACACTTATTTTTATTATAGTTTAAGCCACTTGGTTATAATGCTGTTACGTTAGAGTTTATGATTTTGATGTATAAAGTTAATGTATTTTTCCCACCACCAAAGTGCCCCACTCTGCGGCATTGTCTTTGGTCACACCTAGTCTGCCACTTGCCCTCTACAAATTCCTTTCCCCAGCTGTTTGGTAACCTCAGCTTTTTAAAATGTGCCTCTTGACCATCTCTGTGTGTAAAGAGACTCATCTTAGAAGAAGAAATACTAAGTACATAGTTCTTAGATCTAGCACATAGCATTTGTTTCTTTCTTTTATATTCTAGCACGCTCTCTCTCTCTCTTTCCCTCCCATCTCTTTTTAAATTCTAGCTCTTCTGACCTTTATTTGGGCCTGGATATAACTTTTCCTAAATATGTGTGTTTCGTTCTTTAGCCTAAAAAGTCTGTCCTCTTTTTTTTTTCCCAAGATTGCGCTGTATTTGCTCACAAAGTAATTTTGTTTTTGGATTTTGTATCTAGAGCATTTCCATGATGAGTAAAAAAAAGGAAACACAGCGGAAACTTCCTGAGTGGATGTCTGTGCAGAATAAGAAATGTGATGTAGAAGAGAAAAAGGTATGGAGTTTGTCAATTAATTTTACATCCTAGAATTAACTTTGGTAGTAAAATGAGCCAATCCTCACTTGTAATCCTCAATTATTACTTGAATTCGAATTGTTATTAGGTGAATGAACCATAATCTAGTCATTAAATCGCATAGGTGGGCTAGAGCAATAGTACAGTGGGTAGGGTTCTTGCTTTGTATGAGACCAACCTGGGTTCAATCCCTGGCATCACATATGGTCCCCTGAGCACTGCCAGGAGTAATTCCTGAGTGCAGAGTAATTCCCTGAGCATCAATGGTTTGGTCCAAAAGTCAAAAAAAAAAAAAAAGGATTTTAAAACTCATAGATGAATATAAATGAGATTAAAGTGGAATTGAGTTTGCAGCGATAGTTCTTTCTCTTTTTTTTTTTCCTTTTTGTCTAGTTTGTTTGGTTGACCTTACAACTTTGTTCTGGTTCAGATAATAATTTAGGCAGTATTTACTTTGATGAATTTTGATAATTAAAACAATTTGCATCCTCAGATTTAAGATCCTCCCAGTCCTCACTATTTTAAGGCAACATTATTACATCTAGAAGAGTATACGATTACATAAAAACTCATTAATTTAAGTGCGCTTTTGGGCTTGGTGTTTTGGGTCACTTGGGTTATGGTGCTCAGGGGCTATTCTTGAATCTGTGCCCTCAGTAGTGATTCTGAGAGATGCTCAGGAGCCCATGTGGATGCTGGGGATAGAGTTGGGGTCACTGCATGCAAGGCAAGTGTCATAACCCCTCTCCTGTATCTCTTGCTCCTACGAAAGTGCTTTTATAAAAAATAGGATTAAGATTTTTTGGCATATGAACTTCTTAGAAAAATAATTTCACTGTGGAAAGTTTAATTTTGTTACATGGTCCTTATGGCTTCATTAGATACAAAGAATTACTTGAAAAAATTAGAATTATAATTTGGATGCTTCTGTAAATTCTATTATTATGTTGAACATTTTTATTTGATATGGACTTACCTGTTCCTTTTCAAAATTTTCTTTGACTCAAGTCATCTATTCAGAAGAGTGTTTTTGAAGATGACCTCCCCTTCTTAGAATTCACTGGATCCATTATGTATAGTTATGAAGCTAGTGATTGCTCTTTCTTAGCAGAAGATATTAGGTAAGAGGTTTGCTTTTTTTCTAGTTCTATTTGGTTTTGGAACCTTAGAAAAGAACTGTTTTAGTAGTATTTGCAAATTAAGGTGAATGTAAGAGATGGTGAATTCTACATGTAAACTATAACTGATGAATTCTCACTTCTGATAATAAAGCCTTAAATCACTGAATTAAATTTGTAATGTACCTTTTATTTATGTCTTTCTATTTACTGTAACTTTTTGAGTTTTCCTACCTAAGTTGTATATAGAAGTAAAGGCCCTCCCGTTGATCGTCGATTTGCTCGAGCGGGCCCAGTAACGTCTCCATTGGAGACTTTGTTGTTACTGTGTCTGGCATATCGAATACTCTCGGTAGCTTGCCGGGCTCTCCGAGAGGGGCGGAGGAATCGAACTCGGGTCGGCCATGTTGGCCGCTTGTAAGGCGAATGCCCTACCCGCTGTGCTATCGCTCCAGCCCTATATAGAAGTAATGAGTACATTATATTAATTTTAGGGGGAGCAAGGCAAAAATTATTTAATTTCTAAACATCCTCTTATATATTTCATTAAAAAACCAAAATAGTTTGAATAATGATTGTGATTGACTTTTGCATGTAGTTAGCAACAATTATAGCAAATAAGCCAATGAACATTGGAAATGGTTGCTAGTATTTTTAGAAATTGCCTTTTCAAATTAGGATTTTACAGTAATGCAATCTAAATCTTTTGAAACAGTTCCAAATAAATGTAGCAAGAAATTCATTCAAATATTTTTAGAAATTTTTCTACCTACCCATTTTCTTTCACTTTTTGATAGTGGGGATTGAATTTAGTGCCTTACATATGGAAGACTTTTGCTCTGCCACATTCCTAACCCCTGGGTATTTTATTTAGCACAGCGGGTAGGGCGTCTGCCTTGCATGCAGCCAACATGGCTGACCCGAGTTCCTCCGCCCCTCTCGGAGAGCCCAGCAAGCTACCGAGAGTATTCGATATGCCAGACACAGTAACAACAAAGTCTCCAATGGAGATGTTACTGGGCCCGCTCGAGCAAAAATTGTTTTAAATTGGATTAAAAGGGAGTGAGAAATTAAGTTGTTTATTAATGGTTGTAACCTGGAAATAACATTCAGGTGTATTTTTCCCATTGTATATGATCAACTTTGGGTCTCAGATATGGAACTTAATTTATCTCACAGACAAGTTAAAAATCTGTTATTCGTAATTATATAATAAGTCTGTTGTTCTCTCCTTAGAATTGTTACACTGTGTGATACTTGTCATGGGAGAGGGTTTCGGCTGCAGCACTGGTGCTCAGTGGCTATTCCTGGTTCTGTAAACCCTTGTGATGCTTTGGGGACCAATCATATGTGGTGTCAGGGATCAAACTAGAGTTAGCCATCTGCAGGGCAAGCACCTTACTCCCTGTCCTGTTTCTATGGCCCTTTCCTTTATCATAGCTTAGTGTAATACAGATAAGTGATTTAAAAAGAGTTGATAAATTCTGTGTTTTAGGAATTACCGGCAAACCCTGTTGATGGTGGGGTGGACTTACATTATTTTTGGTTATTGTTGGTATAGCTTTTACACAGTGTGATTGTGGTGTGCCTGTGCAGTGTGTTTGTCCTGATTGTGGGCCTCATTGAATTCTTTTGTGTATTTAGGGTTTCAAGTTATATTTTAGTTGGGGCCAGATTGAGTGCCACAGCCACAGTGTTTGCTGGTCAGTAGGGCTCTAGCCCGTGGTGTAGGGTCGGGAGCATCCGTATGTTGATGGGAACTGAACTTAGGGATTTTTACGTGTGGTGCATCGACTAAGCATAGTCAGGGATTGAAACTGGGGCTCCTGCATTCGGAGATAAGCTCCTGGCCCTTGAGTCATCTCCTTGTCCCTTTGGTACTTTAAAAAATAATATTCCCTCTTGACTCTTTCATTTTTAAGTCAGAAAACTATTTGATTCTTTCATAATGTCCACTAGTAATCTCCTTGTCTAATAATTTTTTTAAACTATTTTTAGTTTTTTTTATTAAAAGATTTTTATCCTATTTATGTGTTATATTTTCCTGTTCTTTGTCATGGGTGGCAGTCTTTCGTTTATTATTATTTTTTTATTGTTCACTGTAATTTTACCTTGTGAAATGAATGTTGAATTTTGTTATTGTCAAAAAAAAAGGGGGACCTTTACTACAACAGGTAGGTAAGTTGTTGGAAGGTTGATTTTTCATTTTGTAACTTATTCTTTATTCAAAATGTTTTGTTGGAGTTCTCCTGTTATTCAAGGAGTCCCTGGGACCCTTTCCTCTATATTCAGCCTAGCCAGGCAGGCCTGATGGTTCAGTGTTAGGGCCTGGCTCTGCAGTATTGCCCCAGCATAGACCACCAGGGCTATGCCTGGAGGTATTTAGGGGGCCACCTGGTACAAGAGTTCAAACTTGAGGACTTGCTAGTGCTAGGTAGGAATGCTCTGGCCCTTTGAACATTCTCCCCAGTTCTTGAGATTTAATTTTGAGCTTTGTTCTGTAGAACCAGTCTGCAGAAGTCTTTATTTAGTCTGGGAATAATTTAACTCTGTAATAAGGCACAGCCTTTCTAAAGTCTTTGGCTGATTATTCCAGGTGAACTGTATTCAATCTCTGCTTTCACTTTTCAGAACTTGAATGCCTCTTACTGCTTTGCAAGCCTTAGTGTTGTTCAGTAAGTCTCCTGATGCTTTTTGTATAGCCCCTTGGTTTCATTCTGCACTTGGGTGTCTCTTTTTTCTTAGCTTCCTCCTATCCAGAGCTCCACATATGACTTTCTGTTTAAGAGCTCCTAAATCTCTAGTTCTGAAACCGGTTTCCTGAACTCAGCACTTTACTTGAAATTCTCTCTGTTCTCTTGTCTGGAATGTGTTTGGGGCAGAAAGCTGGGACAGTAATAGGGCTTATCCTTTGCAGAGTGCATATTCCTGTGTTGACCATTGTCCATTGTTTGAGAACTGTGATTTATATTTGTGTAACAGGCTTGTTCATAAAAGAAAGGAATTTCTGATCACTGTTATTCAGTATTGGCTCAAAGCGATGGTTGAACTAAATTTTAAAAAATTTTTAAAATGTAAAAATATGTGAAGTAAGCAAATGTGAATAATGATGTGAATAAAATAAAATTCTGCATTGTTTATACTTATTTTTATGAAATCTTAATAATATTCCCCATAAATCTTTAAGAGATGCAACACTGGACCAGAGAGATAGTTCAGGGGTTAAGGCTTTTGCCTTGCATGAGAGTGACTCTGGTGCTGTTCCTGGTTCTGTGTATGGTTCTCCTGAGCATAGAACTAGGAGTTTAAGTCCTGAGTACTGTCATTTGTGGTCCAAACCGCACCTTCTTCTACCAGAATGAACATTGGAATACAGCTGCAGCCCAATATGTCCTTTCTGGTCTTCCCCTCTATAGTACAGAGGTAATTGCTATCAGAGTTAGTGTTTAGCATGATTTTATGTACCACATACAGTAATTTTATGTGGTAGTTAAAATTTATGATCAAAATTTTATATCCATCAATATAGACTATTTTTCACATTTAAAAGCTTAAAAATTGCTTTTAACCTATATAAATAGACTCTTATCTTTTTCACTCAACTTTTTTTTCTGAGAAAATTTATTTTTAATGTATGTAGTTCAACTTTAGCCTTTATATAATACACCATTGTTCCATCTGGCTACAATCTGTTTATTCTCTTCTGACAGAAATGTTATCATTTGCATTTTTGCCAGTAAGGGCAGCGTTGCAATGAATATTCTTAAACATTTCTGTCTTTGTGTGTACATATGAGAGTTTCATATATCTATGAGAAAAAAATGCCAGGGCATAGTGTTCACGTACCTTAAATGAAATATTGTCAAAGCTTCTTTCTAGAGCATTTTATCATTTTATATTCACTACTATTTAAATTCCCAAATAGATATCCTTTTCATCACTTAATAATATAAAATATAAAGTTCTTAATTTTTTTCTGATTCATCCTTTATTCTTTAATTATTTTTTTAATTTTTAATTTTTTTTTTTTAATCAGTCACCGTGGGGTACAGTTACAGAGTTAAAAGCTTTCATGCTGGCATTCCAGTCACACAATGATCGAGTGCCCATCCCTCCACGAGTGCCCATCCCTCCATGAGCGCCCATCCCTCCACCACCACTGATCCCAGTATCCATTCCTCCCACCACTTTCCCCCATAACCCCCCCACCCCCAAATCCCCCAATCCCATCCCGCTTCTGTGGCAGAGCAGTCCCTTTTGTTCGCTCTCTCCTTTTGGGTGTTGTGGTTTGCAGTAGAGTTATAGTGGCCATCATGTTTGGTCTGTAGTCTACTTTCAGCACCCATTTCCCATCCCGAGCGAGTTTTCCAAAACACTCTTTACTTGGTGTTCCCTTCTCTATCTCAGCTGCCTTTTCCCCCAGCATGTGAAAGCTCTTAATTTTTGCCAGTGGATTTCTTTGAGTTTATTGACAATTTGGTTCTTCTCTTCCTCTTCCCTCTTCTTTTTCTTCTTCCTCCCCCCATCGGTTCCCCCTCCCTTTCCCTCTTCCTCCTCAAAATCATTTTTCTTTTTCTTACTGACTTCCAGAGTGGGCGGGACCTCAGAGGCAGTGCTCAGGAGGCCTGGGAGCCCTTCCTGGCAATTCTTGCTCAGTGTGAAGACCGGGAAAGCAGTGCTGCCCCGCCCTGCTGTTGCAGTGCTCCAGTACCTGTGCCACGCTGGTGCTGCTTGGGACCCCCGGAAACACACCGAGTGATGCTTGGTGGTCTCTAGGGCAGCCCTTGGTGCATGACTGGCATGTAAGCATGTGCCTTAACCCCTGTACTATCTTTCTGACTCCTACTTTAAATTTTTTTTTCAAAAATAGGGCAAGGGATTATATGAGCATCTCACATATGAGTCTTTTTTTTTTCTCCCACAAAGCCACATCCCGGTTCTGTTAATGACCTTTTAAGAAATTTACATATTTTTTCTGGGTGTTTGTTATCAGCTATATGTATCACAGGTGTCTTGTCAGTTTTTTTCCCCTCCCCTCCCCTCCCCTCCCCTCCCCTCCCCTCCCCTCCCCTCCCCTCCCCTCCCCTCCCCTCCCCTCCCCCTCCCTCCCCTCCCCTCCCCCTCCCTCCCTCCCTCCCTCCCTCCCTCCCTCCCTCCCTTCCTTCCTTCCTTCCTTCCTTCCTTCCTTCCTTCCTTCCTTCCTTCCTTCCTTCCCTCCTTCCTTCCCTCCCTCCTTCCTTAATGTAGGAGTCATAGGCTGGAGCCAGAGCACATCTGGAGCAATAGCACAGTGGTACCGCGTTGCCTTACGCACAACTGGCTCAGCCAAGCTGAGTTCAATTCCTTCGACCCTCTTGGAGAGCCCGGCAAGGTACCGAGAGTATCTTGCCCACACGGCAAAGCCTGGCAATCTGGCCATGCTGTATTCGATATGCCAAACACAGTAACAACAAGTCTCACAATGGAGACGTTACTGGGCCCACTCGAGCAACTCGAAGAACAACTGGAGGACAGTGCTATAGTGCTACAATGTAGGAGTACTGCTGTTTGTTCAGCCATTGATTAAGATGATTGAATTGGGCATGAACTCCACATTACTTTTTTATTTTGTTGTATCACCGAGAGATAGATTTACGAAGCTTTTATGTTTGAGATTCAGCATACAATGATGAAGCACCCATCCCTCCACCAGTGCACATTCTCCACCACCAATGTCCCAAGTATTACCCCCCTTCCACATCCCAGTCCTCACCTTGCCTCTATGACAGACAATTTCCCCCATTCTCTCTCTCTAATTTTGGGCATTAATTTTGCACCACCACTCAAGCCAACCTGCCAGGGGCAGATGCTACATAATATATTTTCCATAGCTCGTTTCAAATATCACAAGAGCTCATGTGACCGCAATTCTAAATGTAAATTTCTAGATTGTAAATGGTTGGGTTCCAGAGACATCTCTGTACGGCACTAATCCATTTTGGATTCACTTGGGAGTCTCTAGACCAGGGCTGTTGTTGCACTAAGATGGTGTCTGGAGGCAAATTGTGGGTATGACAGCCAGTCTTCTGAGCAAGAATTGCCAGGGAGGGACAGCTGGGGTCCTCTGCGGCCATGAGGGCTGGAGATGTAGTCCTGAACCCGCATACCTGAGCCTTGCTTGTGAAAGCTCTTGGTCACCGGGATTCCATCTGGAGTAGGCGGGGAGATTGCACCTGCTCATCTTGGGTGCCCTGGTGATATTGGCTCCGTATGGGGTCCTGAGAGATCTCAAACGCTGTGGTATCTTCCGGTACTTGCTGTTGTGTCTCTGGGCTGTCTGTTCAGTCAAATATTGGTCTGAGCTTAACTGCAGCTTTTGATCTCTTTTGAGATTTATTTAGGGTCTCTGAGGCAAGGCCAATAGTAGAGCGGACAGCGTGGCGCTGGAGTTGGTTTGTGTGGGTGACTGCTAATGCTTCCATGTGTATTGGGAAGTGGGGGAGGTAGCCCATCCCAACTCTGAGAGAGCATGTATAGCTGAACCAGAGGTGGTTTGTGGGTGTAACTGCCACATACCTATCGGCCATTTTATTTCTTGGTAAACTTGTTCCCAAGTTGTGGGGGTCTGGCCAAAGGCACAATGGCAATTTTGAGGTATCGGGAAACCTGAAGGCACCGTCAGGCTGCTTATGTACTCATCCCACAGGTACAGGTTGACCTGTTGGCAGAACCATACCCCCTCAGTTTTTTCTTTGAACTTTTTGAGTGGTGTCTGTAGTCATGATGAAGTTAAAGTTTTAATGTAATTAATTTATGCTATTCTTCTTCCTTTAGCAAGAGTCTATCTGATGGATATGTGGTAGGATTTGACATAGAATGGCCGCCAATATACCACAAAGGGCAACTGGGCAAAGTTGCACTAATTCAGTTGTGTGTGTCAGAAAGTAAATGTTACTTGTTTCATATTCCTTCTGCATCAGGTTGGTATTCCTTTTGTTTCATTTCAATAATATTCAATATGGATACTTATTAGTGTAATCCTCCTAAAATTAAGCTTTCAAATTAGCTAGTGCTTCTCATATCACCTTGTTTTTATTTCAGTATTTATATTCTACCTGATTTACTCACATTTATGATTTTTTTAATGTTTGATTTATCTTACCAAACATGGATGTTATTTCTGGTTTGGACAGTAGCGAACTGATGTTCAGTGTGTTGACAGAGGTAACATTTAAGTCGGTTGCTATCTTGTCATTTAACAACAGCACTTTTTTATTTTAGATAATAAAAATACTTAACATACATGTATTTATGAATTTAAACCTAACAGACACAAATTTGGATACAAACTTAAAATGTGTAAGAAATACATAATAAATTTGTCCTGCTTGATAGATTGTATATAATAACAGTAAAGTGTTATAGTTTTTCCCCAGGGATTAAAACTGTTGCTTGAAAATGAAGCAATTAAAAAGGCAGGTGTAGGAATTGAAGGAGATCAGTGGAAACTCCTACGTGACTTTGATGTTAAATTGAAGAGTCTCGTGGAACTAGCAGATGTTGCCAATGAAAAGGTATTAGTAATCTATACATTGTTTCAAGATGTTACTCCTGCATGAGGGTTAGAATTTTTTAACTGAATAACTAATCATTTATTTCTTAATTTGATGTAGAGTTTGTAGAATGGGTCCAGGACTCCCTCTACCAGTTTCAACTTTCCTCCTCCAATGTTCCCAGATTCCCTCCATTCTCAGGCCTCACTCTAAGTCAACTTGACAGGCGTGTTGCAAAGTTTCAGTAACTGCTGCTTCGATCTCATGTTTTCAATTCTGTTGAATCTGTGTTTGGGTATATAGCTATATGCCTCACTCATATCACTGGTATAATTGAAGTCCTGATGCCTGTTACTTCTTGTAACTGATTACTTCTTGTTCTCTTCTTTTCCCTTATTTTTTTTTACTTCTTTGTTCATCTCTTCTCTAAACACTGGAGTCAAGGATGATACAAGCATCCCCTTTTACTACAATACATTTTCTCATCCATTATTCTATATTCCGCAGATAAGTGAGGTCAACTTGTGTTTGTTTTTCTTCTTACTTCACCCAACTTGATATCTCCAGTTCCAACCATGTTGCAGCAAATTGCATAATTTCATTGTTCCTTGCAGCTGCACAGTGTTCCATTTTGTATATGTACCACATCTTCATAGTCTATTCATCTGTCATATGCCTAGGTTGATTCCATATCTTAGCTATTTGGGTGCAACAATGAATAATGGTGTGCATATGTCCTTTTGGAAGAGTGGTTTTAATGTTCTGGTGACAGATGCCCCAAAGTGGAATTGTTCGGTCATGTGGCAGTTCAATTCTAAGTTTATTGAGAACTCTCCATACTGTTTTCCACAGAGGTTGTACTAGACAACATTCCCATCAGCAGTGGACGAGAGTTCCTTTTTCACCACATCCCTGCCAACGTGGATAAATAGTTCCGATTATTTTTGATATGTGCCATTCTTACTAGTGTGAGATAGTATCTCTTTGTTTTTTGATTTGGATTTCTCTGATGACAAGTGATGCTGAATATTTTTTCATGTGCCTACCAGTTTTAGCCCAGATTTTCTCTCTTTTTTTCCATGCAGAAGCTCTTTAACTTTATAAAGTCCCATTTTTGTTTATTTTTAATTTTGTTACCTTTGCCAGTGGTATTGGATCATTGAAGGCATCTTTGAAGTCCATTTCTTGAATTTTTCTGCCTGTATTTTCCCCAGTGTACTTTATAGTTTTTGATCAGATCTCTTGGTCTTTAATCCACTTGAAATTGACTTTTGTTTAAGGTGTAAGATATGGATTCAGTGTTAGTTTCTTACATGTAGTTATCCAGTTTTCCCAGCACCATTTGTTATAGGGGCTGTCTTTACTCCGTTTCATGTTCTCAGCTCCTTTATTGAAAATTAACTGCCCATATGTATGGGGTTTTGTCAGAATATTCAGTTCTGACCAATGGTCAGAGGATCTATTTTTATTCCAGTACCATGCGGGTTTGATAACTATAGCTTTAGAATATGGTTTCAAATTAGGTAGTGAAATTCCTCCCAGTTTCTTATTTTTCATTATGATTCTAATTATTTACAGTCTTTTTTGATTCCCTACAAACTTTTTAATTGATTTTTCTAGATCCTGAAAAAATGTCATTTGAATTTGAATGGGAATTGCATTGAATCTATATAATAACTTAGGTTAGGATAGTAATTTTAATATAATTGATTCTTCCAATTCATGAGCATGGGATATTTTTCTACTTCCAAAGGTTTTCTATCTCTTTCTTAAGTGATTTAAAGTTATCATGTCAGTTTTTATGACTTAAAAGTTTATATGACTTAATGCTTGATATTTTGGTGTACTATTTTAAATGGAAATAAACTACGTGCTTTCTCCTCTGCTTCATTCTTTGTATATTAGAATGTGACTGATTTTTGTGTGTTGACATTGTACCTGATCACTTTGCTGTATTGGTTACTTCTAGGAGCTTTTTGTGGACTCTTTAAGTTCTTCTATTATATCATCTGCAAATAGTGATAGTTTGAGTTCTTCTTTTCCAATTTGGAACCCTTTGATTTGCTTTTCTTGCCTGATTGCTGTAGCCAGTAATATATTATATAGAAATGGAGAGAGTGGACACCCTTCTTGCCTTGTATCTGATCTGAGAGGGAATTCTTTCAGTCTTTCACCACTAAGTATGATTCTGGCTGTAGGCTTGTTATAGATGGCTATCATTATCTTGAGGAAGGTTCCTTCCACCACTATTTTGTTGAGGGTTTTTATGAATGGATGTTGGATCTTGTCAAAGACTTTCTCTTCATCAACTGATAGGATCATATGATTTTATCCTTCTGCAGTGTATTATGTTAATTGATTTGCATATGTTGAAACAACTTGTATGCCTGGAATGAATTCCACTTGATCAGGCTGTATAGTTTTTGTGATAAGTATGGTTTACAATATTGTTAATGATAGGGTTTAATGCATACTCCTTCACTTTACCCTACTGCAGAATGTGCATTTTCCTCTACCATTGTCCCAGTGTCCCCCTTCCCACTGTCTCTGTCTTTCTTTTAACCGACCATTCAGCATGATATTTACAGATATTTACACATAGCAGCAAATTGCATCATTTCATCCTTTCGTCTAGCTGAGTAGTATTCCACTGTGTATATGTATGAGAGTGTCTTTATTCAGTCATCTGTTCTAGATACTTGGATTGTTTCCTGATTTTGACGTAATGAACATTGCAAAATGAATATAGGAATGTAATTGTCTTTCCTGAATAGATTTTTTTTGGTTTATGGGGTAGATGCCCAGAATTGGAGTTGCTGAGTTATATGGGAGCTCAGTTTCTTGTTTTTGGAGAAGTGTCCATATTGATTTCTAAAAAGGATGGACTAGTCAACATTCCCACCAGCAGTGAATGAGACTGCATTTCCTCTGCATCCATGCCAGTACTGGTTGTTTCTGTTCTTTGTGATACATACCAGTCTCACTGGTGGGTGATGATATTTCATTGTTGTTTTGATTTGCATTTCCCTCGTAGAGCCCGGCAAGCTACCGAGAGTATCTCACCCGCATGGCAAAGCCTGGCAAGTTACCCCTGACGTATTCAATAGGCCAAACACAGTAACAAGTCTCACGATGGAGACATTACTGGGCCGCTCAAGCAAATCAATGAACAATGGGAGGACAGATGATAAGTGATAACGAGCATTCTTTCATATACATTTTGGTGTCTGTGTGTCTTTGAGGAAGCTTTTGTTCATGTCTCCCCCAGTCCCCATCCTATTTTTTGATCGGGTTGGTTGACTTTTTTCATGTAAAGTTCTACCAGTGCTTTATATATTTTGGGCATTAACCCTTTAAATGGTGAGTGGTGGGCAGATATCCTCTCCCACTTTCTGGGTTGTCTTCGTTCTTGTCCTTCTTCTGCAGTGCAAAAGCTTCTTAGTTTGATGTAGTCTTGTTTGTTTATCTTTGCTTCAGTTTGCTTGGCCAGTGGGATTGAGTCATTGAAGATACCTCTTGCTTCAGTGTCATGGAGTGTTTTATGTGATATAATTTATGGATTCAGGTCTGATACTGAGGTCTTTAATTCATTTTTTTGTTAAATTTTTACTTTAATGTAGAAAAATGCCATAAATATTGTTACTATTTTAGAATGAACATTGATTGGATAACAAAGCTGCAGTATTAAAATTAATAGATATTGCAGATCAGTTTATGTAAACATTGTTATATCTACAGGGTTGCTAAGTCCTTGTCTAAGAATTTATTAAGTTGTTGCTTTAGGATGCATGTCCTGTCGTCCAGAGACTTCAGGATGTGTGGTCTGGGCCAGTGAAGTAACATGGCAGTATCTGTGGGAGGTGGGTGTGGCTGCCAAGGCTTCAGGAGGTATGGGGGGGGGGGGTAGGGTAGGGGGGCTACCCACCCTGACTCTGAGAAAAACACAGGAGTTTTCAGTCTGGGTACCAGTTAACTGAGATTACTTTCAGATCGATGTCTCTGCAGAAAATATTCTTGAAGCGGTAGACTTGAATCCTTGGTGTGGCTATAGTGGTGGGGTGTGGGTGCTGCTGCCAGTTTAATTTTTATTTGACTTTTGTGCATGGTATTAGAAAGGGATCTGTCTTAAGCTTTTTGCTTGTGATCAACCAGTTATCTCAGCATGATTTATTGAAGATGCTTTCTTTGTTCTACTTTATATTTTTTGCTGTGCTGAAGCGATAGCACAGCGGTAGGGCATTTGCCTTGCACGCAGCTGGCCTGGCCAAGCCGGTTTTGATTTCTCTGCCCCTCTCGGAGAGCTCGGCAAGCTACCAAGAGTATCTCGCCCGCACGGCAAAGTCTGGCAAGCTACCCATGACATATTCAATATGCCAAACACAGTAACAAAGAGTCTCAAAATGGAGACATTACTGGGCCCGCTGGAGCAAATTAATGAACAACGGGAGAACAGTGACAGTGATACTTTTTGCTGTTTTATCAAAGATAAACTAACCATATACCCAAGGATCTGTCTTTTTCAATTCCATTGGTCAGAGGGTCCTGCCCATATTTCAGGACCACACTGTTTTGTTAACTGCAGTTTTATAGTATAGTTTGATGTTGAGGAAAACGAAACCTCTCATCTTTTTTTCTGGGATTGCTTTGGCTATTGGTGGGGTGCAGGATATTCCATATGAATTTCAGGAGTGTTTGATCTGTATCTTTGAAACATGTCCTGTGTATTTTTAAAGGGACTGCTTTGAATCTGTTTAATGCTTTGGGCAAGACTGTCATTTTGACAGTGTTGATTCTTCTTATTTTTGAACAGGGAACGTGTTTCCATTTCCTCATGTACTCTTTCTTTTAGTAGTGATTTATAGTTTCTTTTGCATTAAGTTTTTCATCTCTTTTGTTAAGGTGATTTCTAGGTACTTCATTTTTCTGGGACACATTTGTGAATGGAATTGTTTTTAGTAAGTTTTGTTGATATGGTCCATTAGTTGATTTGTATATATTGAACAAGCCTTGGTTTCCTAGAGTGACTCTCTTCTGATTTTGTCTATGATCCTTTTGATACTGCTACTGGATTCAGTTTGCTAAGATTTTGTTGAGAATTTTTGTGTCCATATTCATCAGGGATATGATCTGTAATGTTCTTTTTGCTTCTGCTTTTGCTATTATGGTTATATTGGCTTCATATAGTTGTTAGAAAGGATGCCTATTAATACTTTGGAAGAATATTTGAGGAAATTAGGTCGTAATCTTTGAAGGTTTGGTTGATTTCACTAGTTGTCTTGTTTGGGTCTTGATTTTTGTTGGGGAGAGTTGTAATTACTGTTTCAATTTTCTTATTCATGCTTGATCTGTTGAGGTTTTTTGCCTCTTCCTAATTCAATTTGGGAGATTATAGAGTTCTAAAATTTTGTCTATTTCTTCTAGGTTATGAAGCTCAGAATCATAGTAACCTCCTGTGATCTTTTGTATTTATCAGATGTCTGTTGTAATTTCTCCCCCTGCATTTCTGATCTGATTGGTTTAGGTTTTCTCTTTTTATCCTTGTGAGTCTCAAGAAGGTTTTTTCAATCTTGTCTATTCATTTGAAAAAACAAGTCCTGCTTCATTTACTCTGTATTGTATTCCTGATTTCCATATCATTGATTTCTGCTCTCGGTTTTTATTATTTCCTTCCTTCTACTTTAGGATTCATTATTTTTCCTTTTTTTCTAGTTTTCAAACTGTGGGGTTAGGTTATTGATTTCAGCTTTTTTGCTGCTTCAATGTCAGCCTGTGTTTCTGTTTTCTCTTCTCGTAGCATTGCTTGGCGGTCTCCCAGAGTGTAGGGGGACATATCTGAACCTTTTGGGATACTTTGTTCTTAGTGTTTTCTGACTTGGGTTGGAGGCTTAATCTGGTGTTCCCATTTTGTGGGACTTCTTTGTCGCCATGAGCCTATGGATTGTAGGGCAGCTGTCACCCAAAGCTGGGGGTTGTGGTTGCGACCGCTGCTGGGTGTCACTGAGGCTGTTACCCTGTTGGGCAGAGCTAACGATTGCTCCCAGTCAGGGCTAGGTGTGGTTGCACCTGCCAGCTTGGAGAGACCTGAGTTCCAGTACGAAACTGGATTCTGAGAAAAGCCTCTGCACAAAACTGGTCAGTGGGGTAGTGCCAGGTCAGCTCAGACTGAGCGCCTGTCACGGTGGAGTCAGGACCGCAGTCCTCTCTGGACTGGCTGCATCTTGCCTGTGCCGTGAGCAGTAGCCCACTGTGTTGGAATTGACATGCCCAAGTGTGCTGTAGTGAGCGTTGATATTCCCTATATCCTTCGCATGCACACCTTTCATTCTGGCACCAACTTGCTGGGCTCGTGAGTCCCTTTTCTTCTTCAGTCTTTGTTGCTCCCTAACCCCCACCCTGGGAAGCACTTCATAGCCCCGGTTTTGTCTGCAGTTCTGCTTTCCTAAGAGTGAGTTTCCCTACGGTGAGGGCTGTCTTCTCTCCTGAATTTCCTCCGTGAGGCCTCTTGTGGGGTGCCATGCTCTCCTCAATTCCTGTGTGGTGCTGTGATTCATTTCTGCGTTCCTTGGGAAGTTTATGTGTTGTTTGTGTTGGTATCCCAGGAGCACTCACAGAACTCTTCCTTTTTGAGTCTCTTGGTGCCCCATGTCTTAGGAAGTGTTAGGTTCTTTCTTTTTGGGGAAGGGAGTTAATGAAAACTGTGTAATTTTTTGACAACAAAAGAGTTTTGACTGAGTATAATACAAACTTTTTGTGTAAGACATTGTTTTAGTGTAAGACATTGATTTATAATTTTCTTTCCCATGTTTTTGGAAGGGGGGAGGTTCTTCCAATATTAGGTTCCTAAGGACCTCTCAGCAGTAGTTGACCAACCGGGCCAAGGTTTTGTTCTGGGTCTGGCAGCGTGGTGCTGTGTGGGCTCATTGGCTACACTCTCAGTGCTTAGAGGGCCATGTGGTGCTGGGGATCAAACTCTGGGCCTTGCACAGCACATGCCCCTGATCCTTCCTCAGCTCCATCACACATTTTTCAAAAACAACAGCTCTTTGCCCTGAGTATTTGGTACTCTTTCACTGCATTAAAGATTAAGGTATTATATATTAAGTTTATCTCTTTAATTAATTTATATCAGTACACTTAAATGTTTTTTCTTTTTTTTTAAATTAAAGAACCGTGATTTACAAGGTTACTGACACAGTTGAGTTGCAGGTATAGAGTAATTCAACACCAGTCCCGCCAGCAGTGTTCCAAGATTCCCTTCCCACCCACCCCCACCTCCACCCCTACCCCCACTCCACCCTGCCTGTAAACTTGACAGGCACATTACAGAGTTTCCGTGGTTGCTGCTTAGATATGCCAGTATACTTTTTTAAGGGAAAACATATAGAGCTCTTGTGTGATAATCTTAGAGATGTGGACCATCAGTTTCATCATCTGTATTTCACATATTTTATTAATGTAGTCATTAAGTTATATTTGCACATTTAGCCATATTTAAACTTGCATGAGAAGTAGCAAGCCTCCTGATCTGTTTAACTTTTTCCCATGAATAATACTTTTTTAATTAAGCTGTTTTAATTTCTATGTTGAGTAATTTTCAGAATTATATTCTTGTAATATGAACTGCAGATGATAGGACCTTTATTAAGGACTAACTTTTACTTCTAATTGTTGTTGAGATGTTTTCGGGGTTTTTTTTGTGGCATGGTCATTTTGTAGTACTTAAGAATATCTCAAAATAGAAATAATTTTTGCTGTATTTATTACTTCTAGTTGAAATGTACAGAGACATGGAGCCTCAATGGTTTGGTTAAACATCTCTTAGGTAAACAGCTTCTGAAAGATAAAGCTGTTCGCTGTAGCAACTGGAATGATTTTCCTCTCAGTGAAACACAGAAGCTGTATGCGGCAACGGATGCTTATGTATGTATTTAAACATCTTCAGGTGATGATATGGTTTTCTACTCTGTAGCACTGTAGCACTGTCCTCCCATTGTTCATCGATTTGCTCGAGCGGGCACCAGTAACGTCTCCATTGTGAGACTTGTTACTGTTTTTGGCATATCGAATACATCACGGGTAGCTTGCCAGGCTTTGCCCTGCGGGTGAGTTACTCTCGGTGGCTTGCCGGGCTCTCTGAGAGGGGTGGAGGAATTGAACCCTGGACGCCCAGGTCAGCTGCGTGCCGCGCAAGCACTCTACCCGCTGTGCTATCACAGAAAGATCTGAGCACAGCACCCAATATCTAATGCAAAACTCAGCTCATTCACAAGTGCTCAACAAACATTTGATAATGAATGAAAGGTGTCTCAATGAAAAACTTGTATTGTAGATAAGACTTGATCAAAGATTTAATGATTTGGGATTCAGATTAGATGGATCAGAGACACAGTAGACAACTTTCTCTCCTAGAAAATGATTAAAAATTTGGGGGCCAGAAATAGTACAGTGGGTACTGTGACTGCCTTGCATGCAGCTGACTTGGGTTCCATCCCAGACACCTCACATAGTCCCCTGAGCCCTGACAGGAGTGATCCCTGAATGCAGAGCCAGGAGAAAGTCCTGAGCGCAGCTGGACATAGCCCCCAAATCTAACAACCTCCCCCCCAAAGTCTATGAGCACATTTTTATAAACTTGTTCAGACAGTAGGCAACAAATCATAGAAGGATATATATATATATATATATATATATATCTCAGCTCTGTAATAAGTTACAATAGGGAAAATTTCTTGTAGTGGCACAAATTCAACTCAAATATTTTTTATTGAACTTGCTAAAAATGTTTATGGAGAAAATATTCCTGATATTTCTCAATATTAATTGGGAAGTACTAATCAATAGATTAATTGATTATCAGAAAGCCAAAATAATGACTAAATACAAGTGAAAAATATAAAATCTCAGGAAACATGAAAGGCTAATAAACTCAGACTGAACCAGCACAAATGGTATTGATGAAATATTTAGTTTATAAACAACAGCACCATACACATAATTACAAAACAGTTTCCATTCTGAAACTGACCTTGTTTCAGTTTATATTTATTTTTAGAATATGACAAACATTTGCAAAAATTGCCTCCACATTTAGTTTTCCACTGCTGTTTGTTTGAAGTATTTTCCGATTTACATTTTCATACATAGCGAAATGTGGGTTTATCTTTGTATATAGCACTATTGGTTTTTTCTAAGGGTGGAATGATTATTTCCCTTTTTATTTTATTCATAAAAATTGTAAAAACAAACTCAAGTTTTATAGTATTTGTAGTATTTGTTTTATAGTATTTCAGGAAAAATTAGAGTAGCTTGACTTGCTCATTCCTGTTATTAGTATCTAGTTGTGTTGCTCATATACTGACCAACATTATCACCTGATCTAATAAAATATAGTGAGTAAATTGAAAGCAAATTTATCCTACTGGGTTAATTTTTAAAATTCTAATTCTAATTTGCTTTTTTTTTTCTTACTGGGGCCACACCTGGTGATACTCCTGTCTCTGTATTCAGGAATTGCTCCTGGCAGTTCTTGGGTGCTAGGGATTATATGGGATGGTAGGGATCAAAACCTGGGTCAGCCATCTGCAAAGCAATCACCTTACCTGCTGTAACTATCTCTTCAACCCTAATTTACATTTTTGGGATACTTTTAATTTTTTTTTTGTGGGACTGGAGAGAGAGTACAGCGGGTGTGGTGCTGGCCTTGCCTTGCATGGGCCAACCCAGGTTCGATCCCTGGCATCCTCTATGGTTCCCCAGCCACTCAGATTGTTCCTTGAGCACAGAGCCAGGAATAAGCCCTGGGTACATTGGACTGAGCCCCCATCAAACCTAAACCAAAACAAAAAGAGCATAGAAAGGAAAATTTTACACATTTAGTTTCATTTCTCATAATTGGTATGGTTAAATGAAAATATTTAAATCTTTGTGTAATTTAATAAGTTGACTTAAGCATTTTAGGTGCTTTCAGAATCATTGTGTTTTACTGAAGAAGAGACAAACAATTATAATTTGGTTTACACAGTACTTTCCTCTTTGATTCTCTGTAGGCTAGTCTCGTCATTTATCGAAAACTGGAAATTTTGGAGAATGATGTGCAAATATTTGCTATAAATAAAGGTATATGAAATTAAAAATTAGACTTGTTTTTCACTGAGATCTGCAAAGAAATATTTATGTATGTGCTAAATTTTAGTATTATTACAACTTCTTTCATTGTTCAAACAATGTTAGTATTAGCATGAAATTCATCTGGCCAAAAAGCTCAGGGCAGCAGTTTAGATATTTGTGGTAAATCAGGATTATGCTGCATTTTATTTTGACAATTGGTAATCAGTAGTCTTCCACATTGGGGTTGTGAGGCTTGATAATGCAGTGATGCCACCCCTCTCTCTCAACTGGAGGTTATGTACCTATGCTGTTCTGTCCTCTCCTCCTGTTGTTCATTGATTTGCTCGAGTGGGCACCAGTAATGTCTGACAGCAAATTGTGAGACTTGTTACTGTTTTTGGCATATCGAATATGTCATGAATAGCTCCCCAGGCTTTGCCATGTGGGCAAGATACTCTCGGTAGATTGCCGGGCTCTCTGAGAGGGGCAGAGGAATCGAACCTGGGTCGGCCGTGTGCAAGGCAAACACCCTACCTGCTGTGCTGTTGCTCCGGTCTATGCTATAAATATTTAAATTGCATAAGGTACTTTATATGATCTTGGTTTAACTGTAAATTTTCAACAGGGTAAAATAACACTGCTGTTTCTCTCAAAAGAATGGGTACTCCGCTTACCTTTGTGGTTAGGGGAATTACAGAGGATAAAAATCTTCAGTGAATGAAAAGATATTATTTTGAGATCACATGATTACAATAATTTTTAGTAGCAGAAGGCTATCATTTTATATTGCATGCTTCAGAGGAGATAGATATTTTGAAGGACTAAAGGATAATAGGAAATTCTAAGTAGGGAAGGGTTTGGAAAAGAAAGACAAGTTTTGTGGTGTTGAAGAAGAGTGACTTACCAGACAAAATGAACTTGAACATCATATATTAGAAAGACTTGCTTTACATTTTAGTGATATAAAGAGAACAATAAAGAAATATTGTTAGCTAAGTTTATGTTTTCCAAACTATTTAGTAAGTGGCAGCCTATATGGTGTTGATTTCTAATTTTGAAATAGTACACATGGGTTCAGATTTTCACATCAACCTTCTTCCTGAATTGATATCTACTGGGTTTTATTATGTGTGAATGCAAATCACTTGTACTTTATTGTAATATTTAAATAGCAGATATTTGAAAGGGGGTTTGGCAACGGGATTAGTAAGACTTTAGGTGGAATTTATTTAAGAAAAGAAACTGAAAACGTGAGTCCCTTAATGAAGTGGTTAAATATGTCCAAAAATATTTAAATATGTTAAAAATGTCTTTGCTGTGTGGTGTGAAAATTGATATTGGTTATTTTTTTTTTTCCAGAGGAGAAATTATCACCCCACAGTGTGAAGAAACAGTTGACTTCCATCTCTGAGGAGATGATGAAGCTGGCTGAACACCTTCCGGATACTTTAAGCAAATGTGAAGACTCACAGAGGTTATTTATTACCTACATAAAAAAATCAATTTGTTTGTTCTTTTATATAGGGAGAATTACTTCTCATTCATGTATAGTCACACAGTTGGCTTGACTATATACACAGACTGTTGTTATATGACTTAAGAAATATCTTCCCATTTGTTAAATTGTACATCGAAAGCTTGAAAGCTTTTCTGTCTTCCTTTTTGCATAGGGCCTCCTCAGAGATGCTGAGGGTGGGATGTGGGGACCATTCCTGGCATTGTTCTGCCTCACTGTGGGAGTCCGATGGTTTTGGTACATGGCTCTGTAGTGCTGCTGGGGCCTGGAGAAGCCTGGGCATGCTTCATCTACTGCAGGGTACTGAATTCAGGACCTTGCATATGCAGTTCCAACTCTTTTCTCAGGCACCTCTGTTTGCTTTTTAGGATGTCTTATGAAAAATAAAAATTGTAAGTTAGCATGAAGGAAAATATTTTAGATCAAAATTGTCTTTTCTCCCTCCCTCTCCATCTTTTATTTAGTTATATTTATAGTTTCATCACTTTAAACTTAGAAATAAAAGGTGTTCTTATACTTAGTAGGTCCATTTTTCTGGTTGATTATTATTTAAGAGTTATACATAATTGATAACCTATTAAAACAAGAAACATTTTAAACATTATTATAGCTAAAGCTAGACTCTGGCCTATTGGTTCCGTGTAACTGTTTTTTTGGAAACAGGCCTTACCCTGACTTTAATTGTAGAATGACTTCTTTATTAAATCTCTAAAGGAAAGTTTCAAGCAGTGAAAAGTTATAATGTGGTAAATTAACTTTCAGTCAAAATCTTTGTTGAAATTTAAAGTAACTGATTGAATTTTTAAGAATTTCACTTGATAGCTGGGGATGTAGTTTAGCAATAGAAGCATTACCTTAGATCTGTGAGGTCCTGGGTTCGATCCCTAGCACTGAAACAATACAAAACAAAACAAAAAACAAATCTCACTCTGACCAATGCAATGTTAATGTATTCTTTTTTTAATGAATTTTCTGATAATTTTTTTGGAGAGGGGGTTGTTAGGGAAGCCACACTGACTAGTGCTCAAGGCTTACTACTGGTTTTGCATTCATTGATCATTCCTGTTGGGGTTTGCTTGGGGATTAAAAATCCCAATTGGCTATTTGCAGGACAAGCTCTGTACCTGCTGTACATATATCATTTCAGCCCAGATTTCCTGTTCACCTGAACTATAAAATTTATTGGTTGATATGGAAATTCAGTTCTTTTTATTTATTTATTTTAATTTTTAAGTTTTTAAATTTTTTTGCTTTTTGAGGTCACACCTGGTGATGCACAGGGGTTACTCCTGGTTTTGCACTCAGGAATTACTCCTAGCGATGCTTGGAGGACCATATGGGATGTTGGGAATCTAACCCGGGGTGGCCACATGCAAGGCAAATGCCCTACCTGCTGTGCTGTCCCTCCAACCCCTGAATGGCATCATTTTCAAATGAGAAATAGTGACAATAAAATTTTTTTATTCAGTTTTAACATTTACTCTCCATGAAAGAAGAAAATTCACCATTTACATATTTGCATGTATTTGATATTTTTCTTCTAGCACACTAAGTATATATCATATATACATACACCTTATATATTGCGTTATATATACTTACATACACACACACACATATATATATATACACACACACACTCACACAGACACATGCACACCTTATAAATTGCATGTGCCTTAGTGGTTTAGTTTATAGTAACAATACTTATTTTTATTTGAAGCTTGAGAATGGGAAGAACTGGATTCATTTTAAGATATACCTTATAAAGTTTCAGTTTTTCTATATGATTCACATTTATTTAAATCTAAAATATTCAGATTTATTTCAGAGTCTTTGTGGCAAATTTTCAGCAATGTGTACCTTATCTGTATTATATCTCATAATCAGGAGGAAACAAAAAAATACCTCTGAAGAGCGAAAACATGCTACGTGCATGTATTCAAACTCACTGACATTACATTTCCAGTGGTGTATGCGAGGCCACATTTGGAACATACTTGCTTTTTGTTTATAGCTTTTTTCAGTTGGACAAACTTAGATGTCCAGTAAAAATGAATACTAGGTATGGAGAAGGACAGCATCTGGAAATTTTGGTTGACAGGCTGAGAAAGAGTGTACAGACTTAGAAGGGTTAGAATGAATGGGCCAGGGAGAGAACTCAACATAAGCCCGAGTTCCATCTCTGACAATGTATTGGCCTTCAATCAGTCTGGGGTGTGGTGGCCCTCAGGCATCCCCTGTCTGATGTCAGTGTCCCAGGAGCACCGCTGGGCTGAGCAGCCCTGGAAGGAGCCACTGTTAATAAGGTAGCGCGAACAATGTTTATAGTATAGCAGTTGAAGTTTATTACAGAAGGGATTCTGCTTCAGTGAACCTGGGAGGTATTGAACTTTGCAGTACTGTTAGTTATGGATTTAAATTTAATACATGTATACAGATGCCATTATGTACTTAGCGTTCTGCTGGAGACCAAGGCTGTCTCAGGCTACAAGTATACATAACAGTAATAAGAAAGAGAAAACATACCCTGCCTCATTGAAGGCAGGACTACCTTTGATGCTTATAAATAGTTACGGGAAACATTTCTGGTGCTAATTAGCACAAAATAAATGCACCTCACAGTTCTGTCTGTTTCACTGTGTCAGTGCTTCTGTATTTAAATGTTGCAGTGTTCTCTATGCATCTCAGTATCTAAAAAAATATGTCACATATCTGTTCCTGTAAAGTGTGTATATACAGTTAATAAAAATACTGGTTTTGCATTCATTGATCATTCCTGTTGGGGGGTTGGTTTGAGGATTAAAATTCCCAGTTGGCCACTTGCAAGGCAAGCTCTGTACCTGCTGTACATATGTAATTCCAGCCCAGATTTCCTGTTAACCTGAATTATGAAATTATAGGTTGATATGGAAATTCAGTTCTTTTAAAATGTCATTTTAAGATATTTTTAAGATTTGAGGAATTTTATTGTTAGAATTTATGTTAGAATTTAGTGTTAGAATTTTCAAGCTTTTGTTTTTGTTTGAAGGCCATGCCTGGCAGTGCTCAGGGGTCTATATGTGGTTCCAGATACTGAACCATAGTCAGCTACATACCAAGTTCCTAAACGCTTGTACTGTCTCTTTAGCCCCATTTTTATTATTATTATTATAATGTAGGAGCACTGCTATTTATTCAGCCATTGATTAAGATGATTGAATTGTGCATGAACTCCACATTAGTTTTTTTGTTAATTTTTTATTTTCATAAGTTAGTTCACAATGTTTGATTACATTCAGTATTCAAACACCAATCCCACCATCATTACATCTTCCCACCACCAAAATCGGGTTGTTTCCATCCCAAACCCCAATCCCTGAGCCAGAATACAACTGAAAAAATATATTTCATATTGTCTTTTATGAAGAACTGCTGAACATAATTACAAAAAGTATTCATATAGGAAACAGTGTGAAGATTATTCTATTTTGGCAGAAGCCATTAAGACATTCTATAGGATATCACTAACATGTTGTTAATGCTTGGGTGATATGAGCTTTGGTGTATATATATATATATATACATGTATATATATATCTGAAAATATGTATATATTCACATATATATATTTTCCTCTACGATTTGTTGCCTACTATCTGAACATGTAGAATAACACTGAACGAATTATAGAGAATCAGTAGGGAGTGTTTTATGGTGTGTTTCATGGTCCAGAAATATGTATACTCATATGTGAGGCTCGTTCCGAGCGGGTGGGTAGCAACCTTGAGTGTGGCAGTGGTTGGGTTGTGCAGGTTTTTGGCTGCCGGAACTAGGTCCTTTGGGGTGGGGAGGGCTCTCACCTGCCCCCTCAGAGGCACCCCGTGTGAAACAGTCTGGCGCTGAGTCCGGTGGCATGGTTATGGGTGGTCCCAATTTTTAAAATTTTTTGCTAAAAACTACTCAGTTTTTAAAATGGTTTTGCTTTTGCATTTGTTTGCACTGTAGATTTTGTTAACTTAAGCTTGAGCTCAACTTTGGCATGTTGTTAATGGTGCTACTTTCAGTGTGGAAATGATTCATGAAATAACTTAGCGCTTTCAATAATTTATTCCTACAAGTTCAGATTTGTATTTGAATCATTAATCTAGGACCTCCAAATATTGTGTTAGAATTCATTAGGTTTTGATTTTAAATATAGAAAAATGAGAACAGTCAAGGGAAAACATTGTTAGATATTAAACATTGGATATAAAATTTGTCTCTGCCCAAGCCAGCATTCCTTAGGCCACACCAGGCCAAACTGGAAGTGTTTGAGGGGTTTGAGCTTGGGACCTAGTAAACGCAAGGCTCTTACCCTTCTGCCATATGTGCTATTTTCTCAGATCGAATATACCTTGTTTTGTTCTCAAATGATTTTCCTGTTAAGTTGTTTGCTTTCAAACTGGTTCAAATTAATTTAAATATAAGCACGTAAAGGTACTTATTTAAAAAATGTTAATTAGCAACAACAATTAAAGAGTTAAGAAATTAATTGTAAGGACTGGAGAGAGAGTACGATTGTTAGGGCACTAGCATTGCACAAGGCCCACGTGGGTTTTATCCCCGCAGCCCATATGTTCCTCCAAGCCCACCATCAATGATTTATGAGCACAGAGCCTGGAGTAAGCCCTGAGAACTGCAGGATGTGACCCCCCCAAAAACAAAAAGGAATTGTGTATACCAAGACCATATCTGTTAATACCATTATGATAAATTATAAAACAAAAACTGCATAAGTCAACTATATATAAAAACAAAACTATAATATATTAAAATATTAAAAAACAAAATAAACAGCAAATTAGAAGTAACCTAACTATAATCATAATTAATTAAACAACAAAAACTGGGCTGGAGAGATGGCACAGTGGGTAGGGCGTTTGCCTTGCATGCGGCCGACCACGTTTCAATTCCCAGCATCCCATATGGTCCCCTGAGCACCACCAGGAGTGACTCCTGAGTGCAGAACAAAGAGTAATCCCTGTGCATCACCGGGTGTGACCCAAAAAGAAAAAAAAAATTAAAAGTGCCACCAAAAAAATTCATTCATTAAACTAAAACATCTTTTTCATATTTTCTCCTTTGTTGAATTTGCCCACTGATAGAAAGTATTTTTTCTGTTCCAAAGTATGTTTGTCATTTTAATAGTTTTGAAGATGTGAAACAGCATCATTTCCATATTATAATATAAACACTGATATGTTACAGCTGGGACTGTAATGTTACTTTTGATATATTGAAAAAGGTAAAATATGAGATAAAATTTTTCTTCTAACTTAACATTAATTATATTTGGTTCCCAATCTTTTGATTTATTTGATCAATCTTTCACTAAGTGTAGGCCTTTTCTTTGGAATTCCATAGAGAGTTTCTTATTAAACTACACCTATAATTCTATTTTCTACAACATTTAGTTAATTTCTTTAAAATGTATTGGAATCTTAGGACAGTTGAAGAAGTATGAATGAAGACTGCTGGGAGTTTTAATTTTTTTCTCTAAAGTTTATAATTGGTTATATTACTCAGAACTTAAAAAAATTGCTAAATCTTTTACACATTTGATACAGAATTTAGTGAAATAGTGTTTTGGGGGGTGTGTGCGTGTGTGCGCACGCGTGTGCACGTGTGTGTGTGTGTGTGTGTGATTTTTAGAAACTTACTTTAGGCACTTGATTTATAGTAAGGTTTCCTGCATAAAACATTCGCATGATACCTTCCGGATCAATCAACATAGCAGCAAATTGCAGTTGCATGAGCTCATCATTTTTCCAAGCCAAGTAGTATTCTGTTATATATATGTACCATAGTTTCTTTATCTAGTTGTCAGTTCTTGGACACTTGGGCTGTTTCCAGATTTTGGCTATTGTGAATAGTGCTACAATGAATATAGGAGTACGGATATCTTTCTGACTAGAGTTCCTGTGTCCTTAGGGTAGATGTCAAGTAGTGGAACAGCTGTGTTGGTGGAAGCTCAAATTCTAGTTTTTTTGAGAAGTATTCCTATTGTTTTCTAAAAGATTGAGGATTTCTTTTCCTTTTTTTCTTTTTTCCATTTTTTATAATTTTATTTATTGAATCACTGTGAGAGCATTTACAAAGCTTTCGGGTTTAAGTCTCGGTCATACAATGAAACACCTGTATGACCATTTACCAGTGCCCATTCTCCACCCCCAAAACCCCCAGTATACCCCCCCATCCCACACCCTCCCCCTAGCTGTAGGGCAGGTGATTTCCACATTAGTCTCTCTCTACTTTGATTACATTCAATATTTTGACACCAGACCCACCATTATTATTTGGGATTTTAACCCCACACTCAGATCTGCTGAAAAGGCAGCAGTAGACAATTTGTTTTCTATTGCTGGTTAAGAATAACATATGATGTCACATGGCTGCAGTAGTGGTCGTGCAATTTTGAAATTCTGAAATTTTAAGAATTAAATCTGGCGGGATTTCTGCCAAAACCTGCTGGGTTCCGAGATTTGTTACTGAGTCTCTGGGAACATGGCCGGTAAGGAGCTTGATCAGGAGCCAGAAAGGCTGTTCATGGGCGACAACTTGGGGTCTCGTTGGGATGGGGAGGAAAGGACTGGCTCCACCCCAATCCCGTGAGGCCCCATGTGTCTCGTCACTGAGGGCCTAAACCTGACTGTCCAATGGCCTCTGGAGGATGGCAGCCATTGAGCCGTGTAGGGGGAGCAGGTGGAGTGACAACACCCTTTCCTCCCTGGGGTGGCCCAGCAACAGTAATGTACTGTGGGGTTCGGACGCATTTCTGCCAAAAGCCACTGGATTTTGAGATTTGTTTCTGAGTCTCTGGGATCATGGCCGTTAAGCAGCTTGATCAGGAGCCAGAGAGGCCGTTCGTGGCCGGCGACTCGGGGTCTTGTTGGGGTGGGGAGGAAAGGGCCAGCTCCACCTCCATCCCATGAGGCCCTGTGTGTCTTGTCACTGTGGGCCCAAACCTGACTGTCCAGTGGGCTCTAAAGGATGGCGGCCATTGGGCTGCCAGGGGGAACAGGCCAAGGCATGAAACCTATTCCCACCTGGGTTGGCCCATTGCTAGTAACCTACTGCAGAGACCGGACACATTTCTGCCAAAAGCCGTTGGGTTTTGAGATTTGTTTCTGAGTCTCTGGGATCATAGCCGTCAAGCAGTTTGATCAGGAACCAGAGAGGCCATGCCTGAGGCATATAGCTGAGCCTGAGGTGGTTTGTGGGTTTGTCTCCCACAAACCTAACTTTTGGCTGTTTATTATCATGGTAAACTTTGTCCCAAGTTTTTAGGGTCTGGCCAAAGGCCAGCAGCAATTTTGGGGTATCTGGAAGTCTGAAGGCGCCATCAGGCTGTTGATGCACTCGCCTCACAGGTACAGATTGACCTGCTGGCGGCACCATACCCCCCTTTTTTTCTTTTTTGGAGTCATCATGTATCACTGATTACATTTATATTTAAATTAATTACAAAAATAACTGTAACAAATTGAATGGTACCAAACTCTAGTGACACTTGGTAAGCATATAGGTCACCTGTTGGTAAGCACAGAAGCCACCGTTGGTATTTCTACTTGTACAGCGTACAAGTGGAAAAACTAAGCTGAACATGAAATTAGGCTGTCAGCTAGCTATAAGCAGATAGTTGGCATTAGGAAATGAAAAACAACTTTAGTCTCTTATATTCTTTAAGTGGAAATCTATTTAGAAATATTCTACTTATTAAAAAACTTCAAGCTGTACCTGTATAGTTATGGAATTGTTGCTTAATTATCCTTTTTTCTTTTCTTTTTTTTAGGATGTGTTTACTGCTAAAGGATATTTCAAAAAGTTTGTATTCATTGAAAAAGATGCTATTAGGTTCTTCTGACACCAAGACTGAACTGCACCCCAGCAGTGATTTCAGCTTATTGCCAGTTCAGAATCCAGTTGCTGGTGAAGCACATCAGAAACAAATTAGGAAACATAAAATTGTTAGTAAAGTTAAAAATGAGAAATCTCTTGATAATATAGAAAATATATTTGAAGATGAAGTAAAACAAGGAGAAAATAAATTTGAAGATCGATTAGAAGACCAATCAAAAACAAATACAGAGAGAACTTGTTTGATGTCATTAGATATTACAGATTATGAACTCCAAATTTTGGAACAGCAGGCTTCCAGAAAAGTTCTGAGTGGTATTACTTGCAAATCTCCGGAGGTACTAAATAGAAAACACTTTCCATTCACTCCTGGTGTTGGCTAATGTGTGTGTGTGTGTGTGTGTGTGTGTGTGTGTGTGTGTGTATGTGTGTATATCATTATATACATTTTTTTCCCCTGTAAATAAGCTGGTAGTAAATATTTAAGGCTTTTCTATTCATAAGCTCCGTACTTTAACGGCTCAGTTCTGACAATATTGTATAAAAGCATAGCATTTTAAGTAGTATAAAACTATAGAGAGTTGTAAACAGATGAGCCTGTGGTTCAGTAAAATTTTATTTACAATAGCAAAAGATTGACTAGATTTGGTTTTCATAGCTATAGTTTGTTGCTCCTGAGTACAAAAAATGGTGTCGATTTGCTCGAGCGGGCCCAGTAACATCTCCATTGGAGACTTTGTTGTTAAAAAATGGTGTCATAAAATGAAAAGATTGTATAGTGTCACAGACCTTTATTGTAATTAGCTATATAAGCATTTTCCCTGCTTTTTTTACATTATAGATTTTCTCTATTTTTGCATTCCCATTCCCCTATGTCTACTAGAATTTTCTTTTCCAAGCTTCTTTTTTTTTGAGAATAATTTAAATTTCCTCAGATTTTTTTCACTTCCTACTTTTAGAGTCTCTCTCTCTTTTTCTCTCTCTCTCTCTCTTCCCCCTCTCTCCCTCTCTCTCTACCCCCTCCCCTCCTTTGCTCTCTCCCTCCCTCCTCTCCTCACCTTCCTCAACCCTCTAACCCTCTTCCCTACCTTTTTCCTCTATCATGTAAACATATAAATATCTGTTAAAATTTATCTGTTTAAGAAGTTGTTATTTTACTGTGTATAGTATTTTGTAGAAAAGAGGTTATAGAATAAGTTATACTTGAAATTAATGTTTGAAATATTTTCTTTCTTCCCAAAGCATTTGTCTTCTGAGAATAATGAAGAGGATATGTCTTATGTAATTGAAAGTGATGAAGATTTAGAAATTGAGATGCTTAAGGTATCTTTAAAACGATGAAAAAATTACTTGAAGTACTTTCCAAAGGACATTTGATTAAGTAAAATGTTATTTAAGTTTAAACTAGCTCCTGAGTCAATTCTGTTTTTTTATAAGATCTGTGGGTTTGCTAAGTTGAGTTGTTAGCTAATTTTTATGTTCTAGAAATAGTAGGCCACTAGATTCTAATATTTTTCTGAGAGAGTCTTAACTCTCTAGTACTGAAGTGTGTCACATTTTCTTTTCATTCATCTATATTCCCTTTCAAAAACAAAACCAAAACATTCATATCTCTTTTCATTTGTAAGTTCTTCATTATGTACTTAATATTTGTCTTAGATTTTATTAACATGGATATTTTCACATTTTATTTATGTTTTTGAGCCACACCCAGTGGTGCTCAGGGGTTACTCCTTTGTGCTTAGGAATTACTCCTGGCAGGCTTGGGGCACCATATGGGATGCCAGGGATCGAACTTGAATTGGCTAAGTATTTGTTTAGATTCAAACAAATATTGAATCTAAAATTATTTGAATCTTCTCTTTAGTGTGGTAGGGCGTTCGCCTTGCACGCGGCCAACATGGCCGACCCGAGCTCGATTCCTCCGCCCCTCTCGGAGAGCCCGGCAAGCTACCGAGAGTATTCGATATGCCAAACACAGTAACAACAAAGTCTCCAATGGAGACGTTACTGGGCCCGCTCGAGCAAATCGACGATCAACGGGAGGGCCTTTACCTTTACCTTTACCTCTCTTTAGTGTAGTATACTACCCAGTTGTACTATTTTTCTGGCCTCAATATTTTATCTGTCATTGTCACTGTCCTCCCGTTGTTCATCGATTTGCTCGATTGGGCCCAGTAACATCTCCATTGTGACATTTGTTACTGAGTTTGGCATATTGAATACATCACGGGTAGCCTACTAGGATTTGCCGTGCGGGCGAAATACTCTTGGTAGCTTGCCAGTCTTTCCGAGAGGGGCAGAAGAATTGAACCTGGGTCGCCCGGGTCTGTTGCGTGCAAGGCACACGCCCTACCAGCTGGGCTGTCACTCCAGCCCCAAAATTTTATATTATGTAAAATTTTTTAATGTTTTAAATTATAAAATTTGAAAATAGTATTACATAGTTTATATGTTTTCTACCTTTCACCTAGCCTTAGGTTTCTTTTTTAGGTGTTGTGAACCAGAAATGGACAATTTAAAAAAAAAAAACCTCACTTTAACTAAATTAAGAGGAAATTGAAGAAAAACACAGTAGTTTATCCTGTGTATATTTTTTATTATGCATCTTTAGGTCAATGTGACTTTTAAATTTTGAAATCAGCTTGATTTTTGAGATGAGTAGTGGACCATGATTTGGAATGTGGTTTCTGAATTTAGATAAGGGATTGAAGCTTGTCTTTCTCCATGTACTAGCTGTGTGACCTTGGACGTTTCATAATTTTTTTGATACATAATTTTTTTGTAGTCATTATTTACTACATGTGAAGTAGTAGGTCCAGAGATTTAGAATTTTAATTAAATTTAATTAATTAGATTTAGATTTCAATTCAGAAGTATTAAATGAATATTAGCAGTAATAATATTGAATAATATGAATGTTTCATTATATTCCTATACTGATTAACCACTTATCTGAGAAGTACTCAGAGAAGTTCATTTATAGAATCTTGTGGACTTTCACAAATAGGTATTATATATTAAACTTCTTAGAAAGCAAACAATACCCTTATGAGAGGACTTTTCAAAAGTAAACTTAAAATAATTATAAACATATATTTTTTTTCAGCCAACATGAATAAGTATACTTTAGAAAGAATAAGTCTTTTAATGTCAAGTTCAAGTGTAAAGTTTAATAAAGTGAGATATGGTAATTATGTTTTAATAATTCACTTTTCAGTAAAAATTTCAGAGATAAAACAATTTGGATATATTAGTTTTTAAATAAATAATCTTCATTCAAGGGAGGTAAACATATAATGTCAAGTCAGAATAGAAACAAATATTTGAGTCTGAAATTATTTGAATCTTTTTTTTTTTTTTCTTTGTTTTGATTTTTGGGCCATATTTGACTTTGCTCCTGGCTTGCTCTCTGTGCTCAGATATCACTACTGATGATATTTACCAGACATTTAACCCAGGTCGGCTGCATGCAGGAACTGTCTCTTTTGCTCTGATTCTTATTTTTCCTAATTCTAAAAATACATTTTATCACTTGCATATAGTTTGAAAGTTACAAATTGTTCAGTCAGTTTGACTGATATGTTGGTAAAGGTAAAGGTAAAGGCCCTCCTGTTGATTGTCGATTTGCTCGAGCAGGCTCAGTAACGTCTCCATTGGAGACTTCGTTGTTACTGTGTTTGGCATATCGAATACTCTCGGTAGCTTGCCGGGCTCTCCGAGAGGGGCGGAGGAATCGAACTCGGGTCGGCCATGTTGGCCGCTTGTAAGGCGAATGCCCTGCCCTCTGTGCTGTGTTATAGATCACTATCACTTCATCACTGTTATCTTGTTGTTCATTGGTTTGCTCAAGCGGGCTCCAGTAACTCTCCATTCATCCTTGTCACGTGCTAGTGTAGCCCAATGGCATATTGAGGGTTCTTTCAGGGTCAGGAGAATGAGGATCATCATTGTTACTGTTTTGGCATATCGAGTACACCACGGGTAGCTTGCCAGGCTCAGCCGTGCAGTAGGGATACTCTCGGTAGCTTGCCGGTCTCTCCAAGAGGGATGGAGGCTTTTGGGGCAGTCTCTAATCACTTTTACAGGTGTTCCCAGTCAAGCATATATGCGGGCAGGATATTCGTGGTAGCCTGCCTGGTTCTCTGAGAGTGAGAACTAGACAATAAGCGGCCACGTGCTTCCGGGAGCTTGGTTTTATAGTCTCTGGATCTTGGCCATTGATGGGATTACATGGCAGTTGGTGGGTGTAATTTTCTAGCTGTTGGAGGATGGGGGATCTGAGGAGGCCAGAGGCGATCCAAGCAGGCTTGGAGATCTCAGTCCAGGTCTCGAAGATCTGGGTTCCTCTGCCGGTTCCTTCATGCATGAGGCTCATCCAAGTGTGTGGATAGTGGTCTTAGCAAGGCTGTGGCTGAGTTCCAGAGGTCTCCAGCTGCCCGGGCTCTACTCAGGGCAGGGAGGGAAACTCAACCTGCCCCCCTCCAATGGACTCTGGTGAGGACAGTCAGGCGTGGGGACAGGAGAGTCTGCGTTGTTCTCTTCCGGGAGCTTGGTTTTATAGTCTCTGGATCTTGGCCATTGATGGTATTACCATATATAGTTATAGTTATATATTATACCATATATAATGTTATAGATATAGAGAATCTTATTATAAGACTGATATTAGAGCCAACCAACACTTGCCACTTGGATTGAAAACATTGATGATAAAGAGAAAAATGATTTTTCAGTGTTTACATTCAGTTTTTTGCTCACTTCCTCAGGGACAGTTTGCTGTATTCTATTAATGAACTTTGTTTATGCTGGAAGTCTTCCATCTTTGGCCTTGTGCCTTGAAATTGTTCTTGAGCACACTTTAAAACTGGAGCACATGTGCTCTTTTGTGGTATTGCTTGCACATCTGCCAGCTTTGAATGGAATTTTAGGCTCTGTTAATAGTACTTCTTTTGTGTTTAGTGAAAAAAGATAGGGCACTGTCAGTGGTTTTGCTTATGAAATTTCTTTTAAATTTTCAGTCTTTAGAAAACCTAAATAGTGACACAGTGGATCCAGTTCATTCAGAATGTATAGAAATGGAAAGTAATCTGGATCTTCATTTTGAAGAAGAGGATGATGAGGATGAAGCGATTAAAGAGGCAGAAGAAGATATTGGTAAACACTTTAATTTTGAAATGACTTGTTCGTAAGTGGTTTTAATTTGATAGTCAGTTTTCAAACACTTGGGGAGCCTGGATTTGGTAGTACAAATTTTTAATTATGATTAAATATTTATATTTAAATTCTATATTAAATTTATGTATTATTAAATGATTTTTAGTGATACATGTTTTGTTGTTGGTTTTGCAGGGCCCTCACCAGGTCGTGCTCAGGGCTTATTCCTGGTTTTACACTTAGGAATTATTCCTGGCAGTGCTTGAAGGACAATCTGGGGTGTCAGGAATTGAAACCTGGTTGGCCACGTGCAAGGCGAGAGCCTTAGCCACCTTACCTGCCATATGATCTTTCTGGTCCTGATATGAAACTTTTAATTCTGTATTTTGTTTGTCAAAATCCAAAGATCATTAATCATTAATAAAATTTCATTACGAATTACTTGTGTTAAATGTTATCTGTGGTCCAGGTACAGTGTATTCTTCAAAAGCTGAAATTAGTGGCACAGCATCAGATAGCAAACCTAATTAATTTTTTATTATGTATGTATGCAAACTATAGTAAAGAACTTAGTAAATGACCCTCTCATTATTTAAGTTTAGTGATAGTATTCATATGGCAAACTAAGGCTAGTTATAGTGTGGAACCTTAGAAATATATTTTGTAGGTAGGGAGTATTATGAAGATATTGAAAAATGATTTTTTCCTTGTTTTCTTATATTAAGGTCAAATATGTTATCTCTAATCAAATTAGTTTTTTTTCAAACTGTTAAAGCTTTATAATACAATAATGAATTTTATTTGTTTAGAGATGGAGTTTTTTCTTTAGATAATGTTTTATTTTTATGTACATATTTTCCAGGTTGGCTGCGTGCAAGGCACCACTGGGCTGGAGCTATAGCACAGCGGTAGGGCGTTTGCCTTACACGCAGCCAACATGGCCCACCCGAGTTTGATTCCTCCGCCCCTCTCGGAGAGCCTGACAAGCTACCGAGAGTATCTCGCCCGCAGGGCAGAGCCTGGCAAGCTCCCCGTGACGTATTCGATATGCCAAACACAGTAACAACAAAGTCTCCAATGGAGACGTTACTGGGCCCGCTCGAGCAAATTGATGATCAACGGGAGGGCCTTTACTTTTACTTTACTATTTTCCAGGTTATTGTGAATTTGTGGTTAGTAAAGATCAGTGGAAATATTTATAGTGCGCTTTCCCTTTATCGTTCTTCATTAATTTGCACCATTATGAAATTTCATGGATTTAACTCTGTCCCTCTGTGTGTTTAAGGCTCATCACACATACCACCAGTGTTCCTGTCCTCTTCTCCCACCTCCCGAGGGCTCCCTCTTGCCAGTCCTCTCACCCTCACTCCAATTTTTATGAAGTCGAGGAGTTAGTTTTGCTGAGATTTGGTAGCTTGCTTGCTTTCGTACTTAAATCTTCAGCATTTGAAATCTCCAGTGATCGTCTTTCACTTCCTATTTTACTTAGCATAGTTCCCTCATTTTCATGTATTTTGTCCCCGAACAATTCATTTCTCCTTTTGGTGGCACGTGCGGTAGTATTCCAGTGTACACTGCAGCTGCTTTGTGTGTTGTTGGCCATTTAGGGTGACCCTTGTTTGGACTGTTGTGAGTAATGATGCTGTTAACATGAAGAGATAAAATACCTTTTGGAATTGGTTATTTCATATCTTTTGCATAAATGGCCAGGTATGGTATGACTGGATTATCTGCTATTTCCATTTTTATTTTTTCAATGAGTTTTCATACCGTTTTCTCTAGAGACTGCTCCAAGTTACATCTCTTTTGGAAGTGGTCCAGAGCTTTTTTTCTTTACAAAACCTGCCAATATTTGTTATTTTCTATTCTTTTTGAGATAGGTAATATTATGGTATTAGGTAAATATAAAAATGTCATATTTTTGCTTTGCTCTTTTTTGGCTTTTCTGGACACTTGATCTCGAGTAGACAGTGAGAATCAGTTGAGTAAAGCTAATGTAGCACTGTACTATGCATTTAGATTTTTGATTTGAAGCTTTTTGGTACAGTGGTAGTTAAAATCAAGATTTTTATCAGATTTTTGTGGCACTGTTGTAATTTTTCATCATCATTAATTGAAAGTTGTTTGTATCATTAAATTTGAATTGGTATATTGATCACCATGGTTAGCATCTAGAAATGTAGGGAATTACACATCATCTTTTCATGGTGATAGTAAATTGTGAGCCAAAATAAAAGTACTAATCATTAGTATTAGTGGTAATCAGTGTTTACCTGCAGTGATGACTGGTACACAAAGGTGCAAGTTGTTTGGAGCTCAAAGGTAGAAAATAGGGCCTAGAGAGAGAGTGCAGAGGTTGCAGGCACTTGCCTTCCTTGCATGTGGCCAAGCCCAGTTTGTTCCTTGACACTGGTCCTCTGAGCATTCCCAGGTGCTGGTCCTCCTTAACACTGCTTGAGAGGGTGCTGGGGATCGAACCTGGGGTGGCCGTGTGCAAGGCAAGTGCCCCACCTGCTGTAGTATTGTTCTAGACCCCACAATATTCTTTAAACAAAGTCACTGAAATGAAACTTTGTTCTCTGAAATTTTAATATAAATGTCATTTCATTTTTCAGACCCTTCATTACCAGAACCTAGTGCAGAGCAAGTTACTTGCCTCAAGACCTACTTTGGCCATTCCAATTTTAAGCCGTGAGTATAGTCTCATTAAATTATTTATGCATTTGCTATTTCCTTCACAAAGTAGGAAAGGTAAGTAATTTGTTCATTTAACAGTACCGCACAACTTCACTCTAGATTATACATGCTATGTTGTTTCCTTTAAGTGGATACAAAGTTATTTTTAAGTGCTAGTGATATCCCAAAAACAGTAACAAGTCTCACAGTTTGTTGTGAGTTACTGGTGCCTGCTCTAGCAAATCGATGAAAAATGGGAGGACAGTGTTACAGCGCTATAGTTCTCTAGAGTTCTGGGTAGAAATTGGTTTAAATACATTAACAGATGATTTCTAATTTAATGATGTTTTTTCGTTGAGTATATTTGTGTGCCTATTTTGTACTTCTTATTGTTCATAGTATGCTGGTTCATGTTCATAAGAGAGTGGTTTGTAGAACAATTAAAATCTTCTAAATTTTAGTATAGCAGTTTTTATTTACATATACAGGCCACGTTTATAGTTATCAAATGGGATGAATGAGAATGAGCCCCAAAACAAGTATTTGAATAAAGTTAGGCATTTGCTTTGCATGCAGCAACCCGGCATGCCGTATGACCCCCTGAGGCCACCAGGAGTGATGCCTTAGCACAGAGCCAGGAGAATTCCCTGAGCTTTCCTTGGTGTGGTCCAGAAAAATGTAAAATTTTTGACAAGATTTTTCCTTTTCTGGGAATTTAGTTCATAAAAGTATTAAAAAAATTTTTTTGTAGAGTTTTAATTTTCTGGTTTTTTTTTTTTTTCTTATTTCTGGGCCTTACTTGGTGGTGCCCAGAGATTAGCCTGTAGAACTCTGGGAATACTCCTGACTTTTTGCTCGGGGATCATTCCTTTTGGGGGATTATATGTGGTGCCAGGATCGTGCCCATGTTGGCTGCATGCAAGGCAAGCATTGTACCCACTATACTCTCCCTGGGCTGGAGCGATAGCTCAGCGGGTAGGGTGTTTTGCCTTGCACGCAGTCAACATGGCCCACCCGAGTTCGATTTTCCACCCCTCTCGGAGAACCCGGCAAGCTACCGAGAGTATCTCGCCCGCATGGCAGAGCCTGGCAAGCTCCCCGTGACGTATTCGATATGCCAAACACAGTAACAACAAAGTCTCCAATGGAGACGTTACTAGGCCCGCTCGAGCAAATAGATGAACAACAGGAGGACAGTGATAGCAAACAGTGATACTCTCCCTAACCCTAGGTCTTAATTTTTTTTTAAAGTACTAAGCTATTTTCTCTATATAAAAGAGAGCAAAGATGAGTTAATTCAGAAGTACAAATCAATGAATTTTAATTTATTACCTGATTTAATACTGAACTGTACATTATCAGTTCACTAGAAGATTGTCCTTGTAATTGATTTTTTTCCCTTAGCATTTTATTAGGTGGAAAAATTAAAAGATGCAGTAAAATTTGAATTTTTTTTGCCATAGATATCTGTGTGTGTGTGTGTGTGTGTGTGTGTGTGTGTGTGTGTTTTGTCCTCACTTGCAGTATTCAGGGGACCTAGTGGTCCTTGCCCAAGCTTGCCGATTCAGTTCTGAGACTGAGGATGCAGAGCTGCTGGGTTTTTGGGCTGGGGGCCTTCTCAGGGCCTCTAGAGCCGTATCTGCTGACCTGGTGGTGCCCCTGTTTGGCATTTGACTATATTTTATCACATACCCATCAATCTGATAAATCCATTTATTTCTTTAGTCATTTCTTTTCCAAAATTTAAAATGTGGCTCTCACAGCAAGTTGTTGACATTATTGCATTTCCCCCCTGCTCCCCCTCACCCCCAGTACTTCCTTCAAATTATACTTCATTTGCTGTAGTTAAAAATATTATTTTTAGGGCTGGAGCAATAGCACAGCAGGTAGGGCGTTTGCCTTGCACGCAGTCGGCCCAGGTTCGATTCCCAGCATCCCATACAGTCCCCCAAGCACCTCCTGGAGTAATTCCTGAGTGCATGAACCAGGAGTAACCCCTGTGCAACGCCGGGTGTGACCTAAAAAGTAGCACTGCAGTGCCTTGCATGTGGCCGACCCGAGTTCGATTCCTTTGACCCTCTCGGAGAGCCTGGAGAGCCCGACCCAAAAAATGGGGGTAAAAAATTTTTTTTTCCTTTTGTGTAAAATTTAAGTACAAGTAAATGTTTTAACCTTATCTGTATGTTTGCAAATCTTAAGTGCACACACATAATTCAAACCTTCATCAAAATTTAGATCGACCCAGAACATTTTCTCATTTTTCTTTATCTAAAAGTCAGTCCTTTTCCTGGAACATTTCTCTTTATGTAAATTGATGATTTTAATGGGTATTTATATAAAGCCTGAAATTTATTTTATATTGTAGATTTGCATATATATGTGTGTGTGTATATAAATATATGTTAAAATTTAATACATAGCCAATGAAAATGCCTAATTGTTCCCTTAGCTTTAATAGGATGATTGAGCAAATGAGGCACTCTCTTTCAAGGTTCGAGTTCATCATTTTATATAAAAGTTCAAAAAATGTAAAAGAAATTATATTAGGGAAAGTGAAGAAACTGAACACATTTCAACTTGTCCCTGGGGTTTTATTACTAAGACAAAACAGCTTTTTGCTTTTCACCCTCCAGTGTTCAATGGAAAGTAATTCATTCGATACTGAAAGAAAGACGAGATAATGTTGTTGTCATGGCAACTGGTAAGTTGTACTTAAGCAAATAACCTAATCCTGTAAAAAAAAATAAAATTTAAAAGATTTTGAAATGCTTTAATCTTTTCCTAAACTTTTCCTAAACTCTTAAAACATAAATATGATTGGTATGAAAGGTAGGGCAGAGTACACTAAGGAGATGCTAAGGATTTTAGGAGATGCTCAAATTTATGGGTTTTAGCAGATAATAGTATCATTTTATTTAAGTATAACATAAGGAAATATCAAAGTACTGCAGCTTCATTTTGATATCTTGGGTGCATTGTTTTTATTTCAAGGATATGGAAAGAGTTTGTGCTTCCAGTATCCTCCGGTTTATGAAGGTGGGATCGGCCTTGTGATCTCTCCTCTTATTTCTTTGATGGAAGACCAAGTGCTCCAGCTCGAGTGAGTATTGTTTTCATTGCCATAGTGGCTTTTTTTTTTCAATGAAGGAAACATCTGATTGAGCTTGTTAAAATATAGTTCCCAGAAACACATTTCTGTATATATTCCTTTCTCTTTATCTGTAGTCCGTGATCCGAGTGGAAAGGCGTTCTTTCTCCTTTCAGAGTGTGCCTCCCAGGAGGTGTTCTGGAGACCTCAGGCCTCCCTTGTGACTCTCAGACAGTCAGGCTGACAGTCCAGTGCAAGAACTCGAGGAAGCAGTGCTGCGGGGTCGTGGCATACCCAGGCACGGGGGGCTTCCAGGGCTGTGCCTGCGAACAGCTTCCTTTTTTTTTTTAATGATGTTTTAAAAAACTTGAATCATAATTTCAAAATTATGAAGTTGTTCATGATTTAGTTTAATTTTCCAATACTAATCCCTTCACTGGTGACAATTTACCTCTACAAATATCCCATTTCCCTCCTCCGCCCAACCTGCCTCTATGGCAGATTCTTTGTGCCTACTTTTAGCTTTCTGTCTCCTTCAGAGGGACCACTTGCCTCCACCATTATTATAAAAATACCTTCTCATGAACTATCCTCACCCTCCAGTGGCAAGTTTTCTACTGTAAACCAGTTTTCTTGCCCCTTACTGCCTTTGGGCATTTGTTATTTCCCCCACTGTTTATATCTGACAGATGAAAGAGATCATCTGTGTCTGTTTCTCCATCTGAATCCCTCACTCAGAGTTATAGTCTCCAGGTCCACCTGTACAATAGCAAATTGCATTTCATCTTTGCTTTTAGCCGAGGAGTATTCCATTGTGTATATGTGCCATAGTTTCTTTACCATAGTTTCTTTATTCAGTTGTCTGTTCTTGGGTACTTGGATTGTTTCCATATTTTGGCTATTAAAAATAGTACTGCATTGAACATGGGAGTTACGGATACCTTTTCTGCACTGCTTTTGGGCCTTTTGGAGTATATTCCAAACAGTGGGGTTGCAGGGTCTTGGTAACTGAATTCCCAGTTTTTGAGGAATGTCCATATTGATTTCAAAAAAACTGGACCAGTTGGCATTCCTAACAGCAATGAATAAGAGTCGTGTTCCCCCCCCCCACACACACACACATCTGCACCAGCACTGGTTGTTGTTCTTTCTGATATGTGCAGTCTCTGTGGCGTGAGATGATACCTCATTGTTGTTTGGATCTGCAGTTCCCTGATGATTAGTCATGCAGAACACTTTCATATGCTTTTTAGCCATTTGTATTTCTTTGAAGTTTCTCTTCATCTCTGCTCCCCGTTTTTTGATGTGGTTGGACTTTTTTCTTGTCAGATGCTATTGTGCTTTATATCATGATCACGACCATCCTGTTATTCGTCAATTGCCTCGAGCAGGCCCCAGTAAAGTCTCCTTCGTCCTAGCCCTGAGATTTTTTTTTCTTAAATGCCATATTCAAGGCTCTTTCAGAGTTAGGAGAATGAGACCCCTCATTGTTACTGATATTTGGCATACTGGGTATGCCACAGGGAGTTTGCCAGACTCTGCCGTGTGGGCAGGTTACATTTGGTAGCCTGCCGGTTTGTCCAAATGGGCAAATAGTTTCTCTCAGGTTGTGGGCTGTCTTTGTATTCTTATCATTGTTTCCTTTTAGGTGCAGAAGAATTTGATGTCCCATTTGTAAATCTTGGCTTCCACTTGGTTGGCCAAATATGTTGTACCTTTAAAGATGCCTCTAGCTTCAATGTTATGGGTTCTGCTTATATTTTCTCTGTGTATCTTATGTGTTAGCTCTGATATTAAGGTCTTTAAGCATTTTGATTTAACTTTTGTGCATGACATTAGAAAGCAATCTGAGTTTTTCTTCTGCTTCCTTTTGTGTGTGTGTGTGTGTGTGGCTGACCACCACTACTTGTTGCATTTTATATGTTTTATCCCTTTATTGAAGATTAACTGTGCCTATGTCTAAGGGTGTGGATTTTTAATTCTATTCCACTGATCTGTGGGTCTGTCTTTATTCTAGTATCATGCTGTTTTATTTTATTTTTTTCTCTTAAGCATTTATTTATTTACTTTTTTATTGAATCACTATGAGATAGACCCTTTACAAAGCTGTTCATGATTAGATTTCAGTCACACAGTATTCCAACACCCATTCTTCCACCAGTGTACATTTCCCAGTACCAGTGTCCCCAGGTTCCCTCCCATCATCCCCCACACCTCCAACTCCCTTATGGCAGACACTTTTCTTCTCTGTTTATCTGTCTGTCTGTCTTTCTGTCTGTCTCAGTCTCCGTCCTCTTTTGGGCATTGTGGTTTGCAGTATTGGTGCTCAAAGGTTATCAAGAATACTCCTTTACCTACTTTTAACACTCTGATCATTCTCTGCTATTATTGTCATATTGGTCTTTTCTCTATCTTATTTACCCTCAGCCTGCCACACACTTGCAGTTAGTTCCAACCGTTGACCAGTCCTCGTAGCCTGTTTTCCCTTGCAGTGAATATTTGTCTTCTGCTATATATTATTTCTATATATCACAAATGAATGCAGTCTTTCTATATATGTCCTTCTCCTTCTGACTTCATTTCACTTAGCTTACCATGCTATTCTAATTACTACCACTTTGTTGTTCAGTTTGAAGTTGGGGAAAGTGATGTCTTCAATCTGTTTTCCCAAGGATTGTTTTGACTTTAGTCCTGGGGGATATTGTTCTATAAGAATTTGAGGAGTGTTTGATATGTTTCTTTGAAGTATGTCCCGAGTATCCTTATGGGGACTGCATTGAATGTATATAATGCTTTGGGGAGTATTGCCATTTTGATGATAATCCTCCTAGTCCATGAGTTGGACTTGTGTTTCCATTTCCTTGTGTCCTCCTTTATTTCTATTAGTAATGTTTCGTAGCTTTCTTTGTGTAGTCTGTTCATCTCTTTTGTTAATCTGATTTCTGGGTGTTTGATTTTTTTTCAGATTCAGTCGTGAGATTTTTTTTTTAAAAATTTCTCTTTCTTCATTATTTGCATATAGAAAAACCATGGACTTTTGCATGTTGATTTTGTAGCCTAGCACTATACTATATGTTTGTTGTTTCTAGAAGCTTCCTTTCTTTTCTGAGTTCTTTGTAATGCAAGGCTACCAGTTGGTCCCCTCAGGATTTTGCTTGGAAAACATTTTGCTAGTTCACCTTGCTTATCTCAAATTCTTTCTTCTCTTTTGCTCATTAACTTGGTAGAAAGTAAATATATGAAAGTAAACTTAAAATTTTAAACAATTTTTTTACTTTTTTTTTTTTACTGCCTTGGGCTGGAGTGATAGCACAGCGGGTAGGTTGTTTGCCTTGCACGTGGCCTGCCTGGCCGACCCAAATTTGATTCCTCCGCCCCTCTCGGAGAGCCCTGCAAGCTACCGAGAATATCTCTCCTGTATGGCAAAAGCTGGCAAGCTCCCCGTGACGTATTCGATATGCCAAGCATAGTAACAAGTCTCACAATGGAGACATAACTGGGCCCGCTTGAGCAAATCAATGAACAATGAGGGGATAGTGCTAGTGCTAGTCACTGCCTTGACTCATTATTATGATTAATATGCCAAATTGCTATAACATTATATATTTTTAAACATTTTATTGAGGAACCATGATAGTTAAATTTTAGACATACAGTGTTCCATCCTCCAGTGCCAACTTCTCTGTACCAGTGTTCCTCTCCCCCCACCAGCCTGCCACCTCGACAGTTATATTCTAAAGTTTGGTTGTTGTAGTTTGGATCTCATGCTTTCATTGTTGTTGAATGAAAAACTTTTAAACTTCTTTTTCCTGATTTGCAACCTTTTTGTTGTTGTTGTTTGTTTGTTTTTGGGACACACCTGGTGGTGTTCAGGACTTTCTCCTACCTCTGTGCTCAGGGATCATTCATTCCTGGTTGGGCTCAGAGGACCTTATGCGGATGCTGGGGATTGAACCTGAGTCAGTCGTGTGCAAGGCAAGTTTCCTAACATCTGTACTATCTCTCCAGCCCTTCTCAATCTTTTTGAAACAATCATACTATAAAATTTCTCTTCTAACAATAGTCCTTGAAGGCATTAATCAAATTAGTGAGTTGCAAAAGGAGTGAGAATTGCAAAGAAGAGGAATGTACATTATTTTACTTTTTCATTCCTTCTTAAGAATGAGGTTAGTATTTATAATGTATACTTGACTCTAGAATATTTTTTTTTCTTACAGAATGTCCAACATTCCAGCTTGTTTTCTTGGATCAGCACAGTCAAAAAATGTTATAGCAGATCTTAAATTGTAAGTGTGAATTTATAGGGCTTATGTGACTACTATTCACATGATTATGTGTTTTCATGTGTTTTTTTGTTGTCCAAAAATTCAGATCTTAAAATCTATTATATTCAGGTCTTAATATTAGCTGTAAGATAATTTCTGTAGACAGATTTGTAAAATTTTGGTTTTAGTGAGAACTTGAAGAACTTAATTTATTTTTGTTTGCTTGGAGATAGTGGTTAGGTTTTTGGGTTACCCTCAAAACTTGGTCTGCATCTTCATTTGATAGAGTGGATTAAATCACTGCATTTTTGCTATGCACCAACACTGTCTTTTGGGGGAATATAGTTAACAGGTTATTCCATATTCAAATAATTTTTAAGATAGTTATTTACCTGCCCAGAACGGGAATTAATCTTTTTAAAGCAAATTTGTTTTTCTGAATTTTATTTTTATAAAGTTATTCACAATATTTGATTACATTTAATATTCAGACACCAATCCCACCACCATTATACTTTCCCACTACCACATTTCAAATATTTCCATCCCGAACCTCAAACTCTGCCCCCAAAGCAAAATCAAAATAATTTATTTTGTATTGCTTGTTATGAATAATCTGTTAAAAATGATCCCAAAATGCTTTCTTAGAGGAAAGTTATGTGAAGATCTGTATTTTACCCAGGTGCCATTTAAAGCCCTTCTATAAGAGATTAGTAATATGTTGTTAAAGGTTGAGCGTTATGTGCTTATATCTATATCTGTCTAAATATATTTCCCCTTTAAGACTGGTTGCCTTCTACTTCAAATTCCATCAAATGTGGTGTGCTCTCTTGGTATATCAGTGGTGTAAAGTATGAGATGTCCAGGCACTCATGGGTGAGGCTCCTCTGAGTGTGTGGACAGCAGCCGTGAGCCTGGCGGTGATTGAATTTTGGAGGTTGTCGGTTGCTGGACCTGGTGTTTTGGGGGTGGGGAGGGGCTTCACTCACCCCCTCTGGGTTGCCCCAATGAACAGCCTAGCATGGGGGCCTGGAGGTATGTCTCTGGTGTATCCTTTAAGCAAATTTTATATTATGGGTTCACAAATGATGTGTAGTCCCCATTCAAAGAAATTAGCTCCCTCTTAGGAAGAGACTGGGTGTTCAAAGTATATTAGGGTTCTCTTTATTTATAGTTTCTCTGTGCCTTTTTCATTCTGTTCTCTTAGGGTGTAAATATACTCTGCTTTTTTTAGTCACAAAATGTGACTCTGCCACTCCTCTTTTACATATCACAACCCTTATACCTCGATGAGACTGTTTCTTGGCAGACCTTAGATTCTAGGACAGACTAATTGTCTTGGTTCTGGTACGGTGTCTTTTCTGAGCTCTCAGAATCCATAGGAGAACTATGGGTGTTGTGCATTTACTTACGTAGAGGGGCAGGGATAGGTTAATGGGTTTCATTGTCAGAGAAGGCTGAAGGTCTTGTGGGTGAATTGCTAACACGTAAAAAGGTTTACTGTAAGCTTGCTCATTTGAATCAGGCATTATACTTTTGGAACTTGATTGCTAGAAGTCAGAACCTAATTTCTAATGTCACCTTAATTCTGATTACGTCCTGACAGTATTGCCTTTTTAAATTTTGATGTACGAAGGGAAATCACAGAACTGAAAACTGCAGCTATTACACACACATCATTATGTTCAGTTTTCAGTAAGTGACATGATGTGTTATTTAAAAATCTATCAGTATTAGGGATTTACGGTTGTAATTAGGAATTTACAGTTGTAATTTATTGAATGATTGCTTTTATAAATTGTAGTATATTTCACTTCCTGTTTATTTTTAGAGGCAAATATCGAATTGTATACATAACACCAGAATTCTGTGCTAGTTACTTGGACCTACTCCAGCAACTTGAAGTAAATATTGGTAAGGAGCCTAAACTCTTAAAATTTTATAAAGATTTCATTGATTTAAATTATCCTTTAAAATTAAAATCTATGATGGATACTAAATTTTATTTCTCTTAAAGTTTACTTCAAACTTTATCTCTTCTTATATACTCTTTAACGTTTAACAACCTAAGCCTGAAAGGCTAATATCAAATCTGTTGTAAATTAATGCTAGTGTAATAAAAAATGGAAATAAACATTATATCTCTAGGAAATTTCTATCTTGGATACTGCTGGTGTCTCTCCTGTTTTATCCTGTAGGATTTGTTACTTTTCTGCCATAGAGCCATTAGAATCCTGTATTCTAATTACCTAATTACACTGTTTGTTTTCTTATGCTAGTCTATAAACATTTCAGATGAACAATACCATTCTTATTTATTTATATTTGCAGTGCAGTACCTAGCACATAGTAGTAGACAGTTAAATGTATAATGAAAACAATTACACACTGTATCCTTTTAGTATATGTTAAAAACCGAAAAAAGAATGAGTAGAAATTATCATTTTATTAAATATATTATGAAAGAGTGCATTCACTAGATGTTAAACTCTTTTTTTTTTTAAATTGAATCACCGTGAGATACAGTCACAAAACTTTCATGTTTGAGTTTCAAATGTTAAATTCTTACTATCAGATTATATATTTGTCTTTAATGGGAAAAAAAGTTTGGTGTTTTTTTTAGATTATTTAATAGGTTTCTTATTTTCTTCTTCTACTCTATGAAATTAGTAATTTTAGTAAATCATAATTGTTTATTTGTATGTTTCCTTTTAGAATTATGAATTCCTCCTGATCATGAATTACATTTATTTTTAGAAAAGTGTTTAGAATATATTGTGTAGCTAACTTAATAACCATAGTGATAATAGTTTTACTGTATTTTTGAAAATAGCATATTTTTATTCTACTCTCTTTTGTGCCGGGCCCTGTCTTTACATTTTAGTAACAGATATGTTTACCATCTCAGTAGGGGCTACCCACTTTGGTGCTGTGGCTCAGTGGTTGGGGGTCACCTGGGTCAGCGCAGTGGCTTCAGGGGAGGTTGGGGGGTAGCATGTGGTATTGGGGAACTCAACACAGAGCCTCCCAGCTGCTAGTCATGTGCTGTGCCACTTGAACTCTCTCCCCAGTACCTGCTTTTCACTTGTGGGGAACTCAGGCTTAGAAGCTGACTAACGTGCCCAGGGTGAGGAAAATGGTGCGTGGTGCAGCCAGGTTCTGCATCCAGGCAGCCTGCTTTGGAGCATTTATATTTCTCAGATCGGTCTCAAATAATGGTCATCTTGCTGAAGGGATGTTGTTGTTTTTGGCCCAAATAAGTTTTTTTTTTTTTTTTTTTTTTTGGCTCATGCTTTAATTTGCTTGAGCGTGCACCAGTACCATCTCTGTCGTGAGACTTGGCTTGCACGCGGCCAACCCAGGTTTGATTCCTCCATCCCTCTCGGAGAGCCCGGCAAACTGCTGAGAGTATCCCGCCTGCACAGCAGAGACTGGCAAGCTCCCTGTGGTGTATTCGATGTGCCAAAAACAGTAACAACAAGTCTCACAATGGAGACGTGACTGGTGCCCGCTCGAGCAAATAGATGAACAACAGTAGGACAGTGCTACAGTGCAGTGCTACAGTTTAAACTCAGTAACTGAGGGCAGAGGTGGTGTTTTTACTTTGAAAACCAATTTACTGTAAAATATGTGAGTGTTGTCCTTTCTTCAGAGCATTTCAGAGGAACTCTGTGCAGTATGATGGGATCAATCTTGGGTAGTGATATACGTAACCTCAATAGAATGATATATAGTAACTTAAAAAAATTTCTTTGACACTTAATCCATGATATAAAATCGAAGACATTACTAAAAAGGATAAAAAAATTTCTTTGACACCTAATCCATGATATAAAATTGAAGATATTACCAAAAAGGAGTAGAACAGCTTTTTTATTTTTAAGATCAGTTTTATTTTATTTAGTATTATTCAAAAGGGATGCTTTTGAGGATACTATATAAATCAGTTATTTATTTCTGCGAGTAATAATTATGAAATCTGAAATCCAATGGATATATTTTGAATTATGTATAAATTATTTTCTTCTTTTATCTTTATTTGGACTACTTAAATTCTCCTTTTATATATTTAACAAAGAAATTGATAGGTTCATATGAATTTATTCTTTTTGATAATAATTTTCCCTGTTTTTGTTTTTCTTCTTTTTATAGGATTCACTCTTATTGCTGTGGATGAGGCACACTGTATTTCTGAGTGGGGACATGATTTTAGAAATTCATACAGATCTCTGCACTCTCTGAGGAGAGTACTCCCGTTGGTAAGCTTTGCCAACCTCAGTGACTGGGAGTGATATGCTTAGCAAAGAAGAATCCCACATTATGGGATGTCCAAAGCTGAAGACTTCTCATATAAGAGTAGATGAATAGATGATGTTAGCTGGAGAAAGACTTATTAAAAAATTCTAACCTTAATCTCCCTTTTATGGATGTAATTTATTTAGGAATACTGTAGTACAGGAATTAGTAAAGATTTTATGAAAGAATTAGAGAATAAAATTTTACGTTTTGAATTACAGATGATGTAAAAAGAAATACTTTTTACAACCACTTAAAAATTTTAGAACTGTTCTTTGCTTGTTAGACATTGAAAGAAACCCAGACTGAACAAAACCAAGCTGTGGGTCTGGTTTGACTTGTAGAACAAACTTAAACTTAAAACTCTGGTAGGCCTTCATTCTGTCTCAGTAATATCTCAACCCATGTGACCTTCTGTTCTAGGATATTGGGAGGACAGTGTACTCCTACTTGCATCACTTTCAAAATTTAAAAATTGAACAATTCCAAAGAGGTTTTAATATAGCTTTTACTACTAAAATTTCTCTTTTTTCACTAATTTTAAAGAATAGCGAAGTTTCATAAGAATGTGCTACATGAATTACTTATTTTACAGGAATTGTTTGAATACTTGCAACATTTTTTTTTCCTTGAAATTTCCCTACGAATCTTTTAATTCATAGGAAATAGTGAAAAGCAGAAAGGGAGGTCCTGTATATCCTTCACCAGTTTCCTCGGTGAGATTTTGCTTGACTCTAGTATAGTATCAAAACTGGGAAGATGGCACTGGCAAAGTCTCCACAGATTATTCTTGTTTCACCAATTGCACAGATACTCGTGAGTCTGTGTGTATATGTGTACTGTTCTGTATCACTTTATGTGGATTTGTCTGACACTATTAAAATAAAGATGCAGGACTCTTCCATTAACAGGCGGCTTCTTGGGACTGACATTTTACAGCCACACCTACCATACTACTCTCCACCTTCAATCCACGGTGACCTCTAATTCTGTCTCTGTCTACAGTTTTGTTACTCAGAAATATTACATAGTTGAAATCATGCAGTTTGTTGTTGCCTTTGGAAAGTGACTTTTTTCACTTCCTTGAGTTCATTCAAGTACTCATGAGTGTTCAAGTTTGTTTTTCTTAATTGCCTTCTTAGTATGGTTTCCACCACTGTTTGCTTAACCTGTAGAAGAGCTTTTATGTTAAGAGTTAAGAGTTTGAGCTCTTTTGAAAAGTATTGCTGTAAAGAGACACATATAAGCCAACAGCATTTATTTACTTATTTTGGTTTTCGGTGCGTAGGGCTTACTCTGGATCTGACTCAGGGAACATACGAGATGCTGAGGATTGAGCCCAGATTGGCTTCATGCAAGGCAAACGCCCTTTCTGTTGTACTGCAGCTCTGATCTCAAGTAATTGAATGATTAACTTGTGAACTAGAGAATGTTCTTCTTTTGGATATATGCCTGGGAATGTAGTAACGAGATTGTTATATACGTGATTAATTTAAACATTTTCACTTTTATTCATTTGTGTTGATGTAACATTGACTTATATCACTGTGTATGTTTTTGTTTCCTACCTCTTCAAATGTACATTAGTACCACATTTGCCAACAGAGTTTCACTAACCATCCACCACAGTTCTCTAGACACCCTCCTCCCTTGGCCTCCGGTAGCCTCCATTCTACATGCAACCCCAAAATTTAATGTTTTGTTTATTCCTTTGCATATTCTGCACATGAGTGAAATCATCTGATATTTGTCTTCTGATTTATTTCATTAAGCCTGATTCCCTCAAGTGTTAGCCATGTTACAAATGCTGACCTCATCTTTTTTTTTTTTAACATAACTGAGTAATATTTTCTGGTTTGCATAGACTCTAGAACTTTTTTTTGGTTATATTTATTTATTGAATCACTGTGGGAAAAGTTACAAAGCTTTCAGGTTTAAGTCTTGGTCATACAATGATCAAACACCTTTCCCTTCGCCAGTACTTATTTTTCACCACCAAGAACCCCAGTATACGCCCCCTCCTACCCCTCCCAATGCCTGTGAGGCAGATGATTTCTACTTAACTCTCTCTCTACTTTGATTACATTCATTATTTTGACAAAAGATGCACCATTGTTGTTGAGAGTTTGCGCCCAAAAATCAGAACTGCTAAAAAGGCACTGTGAAATGATTTGTTTTCTATAGCTGGTTATGAGAACCAAATGATGTTGCTATTGCAGCCGCACGATTTTGGATTTCTGATATTTTACTAATTAAGTCTGGAGGGATTTCTTCCAAGAGCCAGATAATTACGAGATTGGTTTCTGTGCCTTTGGAGCCATGGCCGTGCCAGAGAGCTGCTTGTGGGGGGCAACTCGAACCTCAGTAGGGTGTGGAGGACGATCCGGTACCGCCCACCCCTTCCCATGATGCTGCAGTTGCCCTGTCACGGCTGGCTCATACCTGGCTTTCCAGTAAGCTCTGAGGCAGCGGCAATAAGCTCCTTGCTACCTGCATGCCTGCAGGTGGGGGGGGGGGGGGCGCCGAAGGGAGAGACACCCTTTCCCTCCCGGAGAGGCATGGCGCCATGGCGCCGTAGGTTAACGCATGGTCCATTCACTTTTCTGCCGCAAGCCGCAGGGCTCTGGATTCAGTCCTCTTGCCTCTAGAGCCATGACCGTGCCAGAGAGCTGCTTCTGGGGGGCAACTCGTTACCTTGGGAGGGCGTGAAGGACGAGAAGTCTAGAACTTTTTAATGGACACTTGTTGGTGAAGTAAACATGAGTCTATATCCATTGATTATTTGTAATTGAAAGCAAGTTATCTTGAGCTCATCCACATTTTTTATTCTCATTTTTCATCATCCTGTCGAATGCGTCGAATGCCTCGAGCAGGCCCCAGTAACGTCTCTTTCATCCTAGCCCTGAGATTATATTCAAGGCTATTTAGGAGAATGAGACCCATCATTGTTACTGGTATTTGGCATATTTGGTACGCCACGGGGAGTTTGCCAGACTCTGCCCTGTGGGCAGGCTACATTCGATAGCCTGCAAGTTTGTCCAAAGTAGGAATAAGACAATAAGATGTCATAAAAAAAAATTCTGTTAAGATGTCGCGCGGCCACGCGGTTCCAGGATCTGGATTTTATAGTCTCTGAGTCTTGGCCGCTGATGGGATTACACGGCGCCAGGGGGCCAGGTGGTGGGTGTGACCCCCGCCTACTGGAATTTGGAGGATCTGGGTGGAAGATGCTCGACTCCAATTCGAGTAGGCTTGGAGGTCTCGGCCCCGGAACCCGCGTGGCTTTGTCCCTCTGCCAGTACCTTCATGTGTGCGGAGAGTGGTCTCAGCATGGTGGTGGCTGGTCCTAGAGGTCTTCGGCTGCCGTAGCCCTGGTCGGGGCGGGGAGGAAAGCTCAACCCGCTCCCCTCCAAGGGACTCTTCATGTGGCTCCTCATTTTTCATACCCACATTTTATAGTTTCAGTGTCTAGTTGCTTCTCATTGCTTTTCTTTTCATTTTATAGAAATTTCTTTTTATTTTTCTTGTGAGACTGGCTTAGTAGAGATGAATTCTTCTAGCCTTTTTTTTAAATGTAGGAGTACTATTATTTATTCAGCCATTGATTAAGCTGATTGAATTGTGCATGAACTCCACATTATTTTTTTTATTCAGAATGTTAATTTAATTATTATTATTATTATTATTTTAATCACTGAGATAGTTACAAAGCTTTCCTGTTTGAGTTTCAATCATACAATGATTGATCACCCAAACCTCCACCAGTGCACATCTTCCATCCCAAGGTCCCCAGTATTTTTCTCCCATCCTGCCCCTCCCCCTGCCTCCATGGCAGACAATCTCCGTCATACTCTCTTGTATTGCTTGTTACGAATAGCTAAGATGTTGAGTGGCCTCGATAGGGGCCAGGTACTCCTGGAATTCTAAAAGTTTTAGGTAATTAGGGAGAAATCTTTGCAGAGTTGCTCAGTTTGGAGATTCTTTTGTGTGTCTCTGGATCATGGCCATTAAGTAGCAGTCAGAGGCAGTTTGTGGGCATGGCCTCCGAGGTCCCATTGTGGTGGGGAGACGAGAAGGATCAGCCCATCCCCTATCCCTTGAGGCCTGGAGTTTGTCATCACTGAACCCGCTTACCTGCACTTCTCATTGGGTTCTGGAAGTTGGCGGCTGCCAGGGTTTTTAGGGTACAGGTGGAGGGACGATGCCTGCCCCCTTCTGAGGTACCGTGGTGAAGTTGGCCTGGCTTAAAGTCCGGAGGCATCTCTGCAGCGAGCTGCTTGGTTCGGAGATTCTTTTGTGTGTCTCTGTATCATGGCCCTTGTTTCCATCTTTTTCAGAGAAATAAACTATTGGCATATGCCCTGCAGGGCACTCCTGCTCTCCCTAACTGTGACTTTTGATCTCTTTTGAGATTTTTGGGTCTCTGAAATAAGACCAGTAAATGAGCTTGTATAGCTGAGTTAGAGATAGCTCCCACCTACCTAACTTTTGGCCATTTAATTTTTTGGGTAAACTTGGCCCCAATTTGTTGGGGTCTGGCCAAAGGCACAGCGGCAATTTTGGGGTATCAGAAAGTCTGAGGACACCATCAGACTGCTGATGCACTCGCCCCACAGGTACAGGTTGACCTGCTGATGGCACCGTAACCACTAGCTTTTGTTTTTGTAGTTCTTCTGTCACTCCTCAATTATGAATGATATTGTAGCTGGGATAATATTTTTTTATGTTAGTATACCATGCTATTACCTTCTGGTCTGTAAGAATTCTCTGCCAAGAAATCTCTTGTCTTCCCCTGCCCCCCTCCACTTTTAGATTTTTGGGCCACAGCTGGTGTTGATTAGGGTTACTACTGGCTCTGTGATTGGAGGTAACTTCCAGATCAAACCTGGGCCTCCTGCATCCAAAGCATGTGTCTTTTTGAATGCTTTTTTTCTAGTTTACTATTTCAGATCTCAGCATCATC